AGGTTGCAGTGAGCCCATATAGCGCCACTGCACTCCAGCCTGGGAAACAGAGTAAGACTCTGTCTCAAAAAGAAAAAAATAAATGACTTAAAGGGCAAAAGGCCGTCTCTGGGTGAGGCCACATTCTTGCTTCCCTTCCTCTCCTTCTCCAGGGGTCACTGGCTCAGTAACTCATTAACATGAGAATCTCTTTCACAGCCTCTGCTTCTAGTGAACCTCATCTAAGACAGCTACCGTAGAAGAACCTGAAGCATAGCCAGGTTTAAGAACCACTACTGCAAACTACAATGAATGAATAAACGATATAGATATATCTGCATTACCTCCTCCTCTTTCCGGATGTTGCATTGTATGGGAATGACTTGCGCCTGGCTTGTGGGAGGTAGGCTGGCGTTCAGTTCATCCGCCGCAGATTTCAGTCTCTCAAATTTACGGGATGCAATGACCACATTACTACCTGAGGAGAAACAGCCAGAGAGCAAGTAAATAAACCTTCATGGGACACCATGAACACATCATCCCTTGAGAAGTAAGTAGCCAGAGAACAAAAAAATATGACTTCATGAGTTGTCCAAATTCCATCAATAATAATACTGAAAAAATATATCATGTGTTCCATTTTCTAAATGTTTTTATATTTTAGAATCAGGGTCTCACTCTGTTACTCAGACTGGACTGCAGTGGCTTGACATAGCTCACTGTAACCTTGAACTTCTCCCAAGATAAAGCAATCTTCTCACTTGGCCTCCTAAAGTGTTGGGACTACAGGCACAAGTCACTGCCCCTGGCCATGTGTGTTCCTATGCTATTTTAAAAAAAAAAAAAAAAAAGATAAATTAGGACTTTTGCTTCTGGACAAGATAGAGTAATAGGAACTGAATTTGCCCTCAAGCCTGAATCAACTAAAAACTTGGACCAAATATATGAAACAATGGTTTTCAGGCACCGGACGTCAAGTAGCACTTGACAGTCACCTCTGGGAGAGTGAAAACAAATATGAGCCCTTGTTTGCTGCCTGGTGAGACAGTCTAGACTAAAGCAAAAGAAGGAAACACATTCAGAGACCAAAGTCTCCCTGGTGGAAGAGATGAAGTTGGACGTCCCGGCCGTGAGACTGCCCAGGGATAGGGAGAAAAGATACACAGAGAGAGAGGAACTCCAGAGATGTGAAGGGTCCCTCTTGAATATGATACTGATCGCTTTCTATCTTCAACTCAGAATAGTTTATTTATTAAGCACCTTCTTGGTCCCTGGTGTTGGTAACAGACTACTCGGACTAGACCAGAGCAAGAAAAAGTGCTGTTGTGGCTCCTAATTTCCACTTGCATTTCTTAATTTCATTTTATCTACTATACCTACTTTATGTTCTACTGTAGTAACAGAAAGTGAATGATTAACTTGAAGATTAAAAAAAGAAAAAAGGGGCCGGGCGCAGTGGCTCAAGCCTGTAATCCCAGCACTTTGGGAGGCCGAGGTGGGTGGATCACGAGGATCATCGAGACCATCCTGGTTAACATGGTGAAACTCCATCTCTACTAAAAATACAAAAAATTAGCTGGGCATGGTGGCGCGTGCCTGTAATCCCAGCTATTCAGGAGGCTGAGGCAGGAGAATTGCCTGAACCCAGGAGGCGGAGGTTGCGGTGAGCCGAGATCGCGCCATTGCACTCCAGCCTGGGTAACAAGAGCGAAACTCCGTCTCAAAGAGAAAAAAAGGACCTGAAATGAATTCAACTTGATGTCTTAGGCTTTCCTTGATGAAATCAGGTTTCTTTCCACCTAACAGCACCTCTCAACGGTACGAAGGAGATCCAATTCTGCCCACAAAATCCTGCTTTTGTGAGCTAAAGCTTTCTGTGTTCTCTTAGCAAAAGGAAAAGTCAAAATCGTATGGATGTGAAACACATTACAGTAATCATCATTTTAAAAGTCAGGCCTCAAAATTCATGCCAAAAAAACCTAATCCACACCAACAAAAAAAAACAAAACAAAAACCAGTGGCCTCTGACTACAGGCCAGGCGCAATGGTTCATGCCTGTAATCCTGGCACTTAGGGAAGCTGAGGCAGGCAGATAACTTGAGGTCTGGAGTTCGAGACCAGCCTGACCAATATGGGAAAACCCCATCTCTTCTAAACATATAAAAATTAGCCAGGCATGGTGGTGCACGCTTGCGGTCCCAGCTACTTGGGAGGCTGACATGAGACTCACTTGAACTCAGGAGGTGGAGGTTGCAGTGAGATGAAATCATGACACTGCCCTCCAGTCTGGGTAACAGAGCAAGATTCCATCTCAAAAAAAAAAAAAAAGGTTAACATTTTCTTTTTCGCTCAATTTGGGTTTATATAACAATGTTGTGGAAATAGCCATTAATTCTGGCATAAAAAAAATGAAGAGGAGAAAGTCACTATAAAAATGACTTTTATGGCCGAGTGCCATGGCTCACACCTGCATATGGTTGGTTGTTTGTTTTTGAGATGGAGTCTTGCTCTGTCGCCCAGGCTGTAGTGCAGTGGCATGATCTTGGCTCACTGCAACCTCAGCCACCCAGGTTCAAGTGATTCTCCTGCCTCAGCCTTCCGAGTAGTTGGAATTACAGGCATGTGCCACCACACCCAACTAATTTTTGTATTCTTAGTAGAGCTGGGGTTTCACCATATTGACCAGTCTGGTCTCAAACTCTTGATTTCATGATCCTTGGCCTCCCAAAATGACCTTGTAATCCTTAGCCTCCCAAAATGCTGGGATTACAGGCATGAGCCACCACACCCAGCCCTGCATGTATATTTCTTTCTTTCTTTCTTTCTTTCTTTCTTTTGAGATGGGGTCTTGCTTTGTTGCCCAGGCTGTAATGCAGCGGTGCGGTCTCTGCTCACTGCAACCTCCGCCTCCTGGGTTCAAGCAATTCTCTTCCTCAGTCTCCCAAGTAGCTGGGATTACAAGTGCCCACCACCACACCCAGCTAATTTCTATATTTTTAGTAGAGACAGGGTTTCACCATCTTGGCCAGGCTGAGTCTTGAACTCCTGACCTCGTAATTCACCCACCTTGGCCTCCCAAAGTGCTGGAATTAAAGGCGCGAGCCACCACGCCCAGCCTATATATTTCTTATTAAAAGTAAAATTGGAATGCTATTAGGTTTAGAATCCTGCTTTTCCCAATATATAGTATTCATTTCTCCAAATAAGTCTTCAATAGCAAGACATTTATTTACTTAATGAGACGGAGTCTTACTCTGTTGCCCAGGCTGGAGTGCAGTAGCATGATAGCAGCTCACTGCAACCTCTGCCTCCCAGGTTCAAGTGATTCTCATGCCTCAGCCTCCCAAGTAGCTGGGACTACAGGTGTGCGCCACCATGCCAGGCTAACTTTTGTATTTTTAGTAGATATGGGGTTTTACCATGTTGGCCAAGCTGGTCTCGAACTTCTAACCTCAGGTTATCGGCCTGCATCGACCTCCCAAAGTGCTGAAATTACAGGCATGAGCCACTATGCCAGAACCAATAGCAAGATATTTAAATGGTAACATTATATTTCGTTGTTATTGATTTAAATATTTCCCTCATATTGGAGTTTCAGGTAATTCCCATTTTTTCACCACTCAAATACAATTTTCCTTGCATGAAAATCTTTGCTTGTTTCTGTTTCCTTAAATAACTGAGAAAGGAATTACTGTCAAAAAGCATGAACATTGTGAAGGCTTTGGATCTTTTTTTCCAAATTGCCCTCCAGAGAGTTTGTAATAATTAACATTCCTGCCTGCCTTCTCAATTCTGCATCAACACTTAAATTTTTCCCAATGTTTCAAAATTTTGTTAGAAAAATGACATCTTACTGACAGCATTTTATATTTTATTACCAATGAAGTTGATTAATTTTTCACATTTCTTGCCTGTCTGTAGCTCTTCTTTTGGAATACTTAGTCCATATCATTAGTCTAATTTTTCTATCAGTGTGTTTGCTTTTTTTCTTTATTTGTAAGAGCTCTTTATATATAAGACGGTTGGCTGAGTCTAGTGGTGCAGCCTGTAATCCTAACACTTAGGGAGTAAGAGGCAAGGTAGGAGGATCCCTTGAGCCCAGAAGTTCGAGACCAGCCTGGGCAACAGAGTGAGACCCTATCTCAAAACCAACAACAACAATTTATCTTACGTTGTAAACATTTTTCTTCATATGCCCTTAAACTTTACATTTTTTTTAATTCAATGAGGATTTACATCTTCGCATAGGTAATTTACTTATGTTCCCCTTTGTGGTTTATTCTCTCATTTATGTGTTTACAAAGGCCTTCACTCAAGTTAAGGTAAATATTCAGCATATTTCCTTGCTGGGGTTATGTTAAGAGATGTGAGAAGATTCTGTGAGAGACTCCCAGTACGTTTACAACTTTTTCCAGTTAAATGAAGTCTTCCCATGTTTCCCAATCACTCAAATTAAACATATAGAATGGATTCATTTAAATCTGAATATAAAACTAATTGCACAGCATGTTTCTCACTGGTCTTCTAATTGCCTACCTCGGGCACAGTCTCTTTGGCCTCAGTGGTCCCTTTAGTCTTTAACCAGTGGCTAAAAACTAGCTCTTAGGAAGAGCTGCTCTCTTCTGTACCCCCAGAGGTCGTAATTTCGCGCTCACCTGCCCCTACTCTGCTCTGCAGCTCCACATTCCACAAGCCCCGCCGAGAGCCCCTGGCTCCCGACCCCGGGTTACCCCAGGTCACCCCAGCCACGTATCTGCACCAGCGGCCCGCTCACGTACCCAGCTCCAAGAGCTCTTTCACGATGGCCTTTCCGATGCCCGTGGCCCCGCCGGTGACGATGGCCACTTGGCCCTCCAGCAAACCAGGCGCCAGGAAGCTCTTGCCCTTAACCCAGCCCTCCATCCCTGCAGCGGAGGGCCAGAGAACAGGAGTACTGACCCCGCGGGTTCGCAGGACAACTCGAGGCGGGAGGGCGGCGGGAGGGCGGGGCAGGGCCCCAGCCCACGTGACCGCCGGGACCCCGCCCCCTCTCCGGCCCGGCCCCGCCCGCGCGCCGCTGCAGACCTGCATCCTTCCGGACCAGGACCGCTCCCCGCCGGCTGTCCGCATCCTCCGCCAGCGCCGGTCCCTGGGCAGGTGTGGGTGAGACTCCTCATTCGTTTCTTTAAATTTCGATGCCATTGGGGAAAGGGTGGAAGGGAAATGAAAAAAAAAAGAAAGAAAGAAACAAGCAGGGTGTGCTCTGTTTCGAAAATTCAATCCTCAGTGCTGTAGCTCTCATGATTAATTAAAATTAAATCTCCTATGCAGCTGGAAAAAGAAAAGCTGCAGCTCGGCCCCCTCGCTGCGCCCGCCTGCCGGGGTCGGACGTCGGCGATTCTGGGGCTCCAGGTGCTGTGTGCCGCTGTCTGGGAAGGGTAGAAGAGGCAGGCTTAGCTGAGGGGGAAGAAAGCGGCTTCCAGATCCTTTCATTCTTCGGGAGGAAGCCCAGGACAGAGTGAAGGGGAAAAGGAGATACGATTGCAGTTATCCACAGAACCAAGAAAATAAATGATTTAAAAAATAAACTCGGGCCCACCTCTGTCTCATTTCCCACTCCCCACCCAAGAATCAAGGGGAAAGACCATCTTTACCAGAGTTGAGACCTGATCCATTTTAGCCGGGCTGCATAGCAAGTGAAGAAGAGGATCCTTCATTGAAGGGTTCCTGCTTCCTTCAAGATGCATCTGTAGGTGTGTGTTTGAGATCCTGTCCTGTAGTTCGTTCCTTGTGCAGAAGGGCAAGCCCGCACAGGATGGGGAAATTATCTTATCTGTGTTATGGTGCCCAGTAACAGTGATTTATTATTCAGATCTGCTCCTTATTTTTCATCTTGTTTCCTGCTGTCAGCTCACCAGAGTGAGATTATACCTGGACTGGCCTACTGAGACTTCACCTTAAGAACTTGGCGGAATGTGTCAGTTGCCATGGTCTTAACAATCCAGGCAGGATGTTATTTCTAAGGCTGTTGTCAGAGTGTTGCATTTTCCCCTGCCAGGTATTAAAATAATGTAAAGACAAGTAAATGCCATCATCCTTTTGTTGGGGCTACCACCTATGATTCACAAAGCCAGTTGGAAATGGGTCTGGTTGACAGAGGAATCAGACATCACTTCCTCCACCAGGTCCCACCCACCAGCAAGGCGGCAGTTCTTGTTGGACAGCTACACTTTCCTGTTCCTCCATCCTCTTGCCCTTCTCTGATATCCTTCTCCCTCTATCTTTGTTGCCGACAGACTGAAATCCACACTAATTAAAGAAAGGAATAAATTTCTTCTGGTTACCATTTGCTGGATAGTTCATCCAGGAATCACTTACCTCTACTACTTAAGTCAATTCTGTAGTTAGGACCAAATTTTTTTTTTTTTTTTGAGACGGAGTTTCACGCTTGTTACCCAGGCTGGAGTGCAATGGCGCGATCTCGGCTCACCGCAACCTCCACCTCCTGGGTTCAGGCAATTCTCCTGCCTCAGCTCCTGAGCAGCTGGGATTACAGGCACGCACCACCGTGCCCAGCTAATTTTTTGTATTTTTAGTAGAGACGAGGTTACACCATGTTGACCAGGATGGTCTCGATCTCTTGACCTCGTGATCCACCCGCCTCAGCCTCCCAAAGTGCTGGGATTACAGGCTTGAGCCACCGTGCCCCGCCAGGACCAAATTTTTAAGATTACAACACCATCACCTCCTTTGAAACAAAGCAAATTCAAACAGGAAAGCTCAAAGTATTGTTGCAGAAAAATATAACTCCTTTTGGTTTGATCCCAATGATAAAGTATTTTTTAAGGAAAAGAAATACTGATTCAGTTCTGAGGGGTATGTTGTTCAAGAAAAGTCCAGGCTTTCTTTCTTGTGGGTGAGGACACTTTAAATTCTTTTAAATGATAACTTTATTGAAGATATAACTTAACATGATTTATGCCCTGGTCTGGACCTATAGATTCACAGAGGTATGCCAGGGTGGCTCAGTGGGAATCTGGGTGTGCCGCAGCTTCCGTGTAGCTGCTGAGAGCGGGATTCTGATGTCTTCCAGTGAAACAGGCACTGGGGCTGCAAGCCAGTTATGCCCTCTGAGGATAATAAGGTGCCACCCCTCAGCTGCAAGGAAGTTGCAGGATGAGCAGTATTTTTCATGCAGGAAAGCGATTTTTCATGATCCAGGCAGAAGCTGCGATTAAGACAACTTTGGGGTCTCTTTAAGCTATCTTTTGATTAAAATTAGGAGGCATTATCTCTTTGCCTCTGCCTCTGACTTCAGTCAGGGTTTCAAAGTCAGCTAACCCCAAAAGGCCTGGAGACACAGCAGGAGTTCTGCTCTTTGTTTTCAGATTTTCTGCCTCAGGTTGAGGCATCTCTTCCCAGGGCAACCGCGCCTGGCTGCATTGACCACTCCTTTGGTTGAATCAGATGCCGCTCTTCCCTGTGCTCTGCCTCACTGCCCCCTTTGTCCTGGGGAAAAAGGCATTCCTGTGGCCAAGGTCCTCCCACACCCCCCAAACTGCTCCCCCCAGCTCTGTCATATCCCATTAGCAATGACCGCCTTCATCTTCCCACCCCCTCCCCCACCCCATCTGCCTGGTAACTTTATTTTCTCCCCTCTGCAAAGTAGCTGCTAGCTCAGACTGACAGGGGCTTGTAGGATTCTCAACATTTCGACTCCCAGAATCTCAGTGCTGAAGGAATGTCAGTGAGGCATCTGGTCCTGCCCCCACCTTGAAGCAAAACTACCTAGCAGTTGGACCATAACGAAGCATATCAAGGAGCTGATTAATGTTTTTATTAAACTTCTCCTTAGTCTCAGTCTTTGATGAAAATAAGCCAGTCCTGAGTTGCTGCCATTATATTTATTGAACATCTACTTGTTGGCCTACGTCTATGGTACCACATCATAGAGCTTAGAGTCTACTAGAAGAGATATGCAATAAATAAGTAAAAGAAAAATAAATACTTAATTACAAATGTTGATAAGTCTTATACAGGAAACAAGCTGTTATGATAAAGAATAAGAAAGGCAAAGCAGGGAGTCAAGTTTTTGTTCGATGTGTCAAGAATGGCTCAGAGGAGGAGACATTTGAACAAGGACTCTAGAAAACAAAGACAGACATAGGAAGGGGCAGGGGTGGAGAAGCAGAGCAGCAAGGTGGACAGTACTTGAAAAGATCCCAAGCATTTGAAAGCATTTGATGCTCTTGAGGAATAAATACACAGCCAGTGTGATTGGAGCACAGTATATCTGCTATGATGGTATAGAAGGGATGGCAGGATGGGGAGGTCCTTAGGCCACATGGCCTTCCACATGTATAACAGTAGGAAGTTACAGGAGGATTTTAAGCAGCAAACAGCCTGATTTTCTTTATGTTTTCAAAAGATGTTTCTGGCCAGGTACAGTGGCTCACACCTGGAATCCTAGCACTTTGGGAGGCTGAGGTGGGCAGATCACCGGAGGTCAGGAGTTCAAGATCAGCCTGGCCAACATGGTGAAATCCCATCTCTACTAAAAATACAAAAATTAGCTGCGTGTGATGGCACGTGCCTGTAATCCCATCTACTCAGGAGACTGAGACAGGAAAATCATTTGAACCCAGGAGGCGGGGGTTGCAGTGAGCCAGGATCACGCCACTGCACTCCAGCCTGGGTGACAGAGCCACACTCTGTATCAAAAAAACTTTAAAAAAATTTTTTTAATAGGATTTTTCTTTTTGAGACAGAGTTTCGCTCTTGTTACCCAGACTGGAGTGCAATGGCGTGATCTCGGCTCACCGCAACCTCCACCCCCTGGATTCAGGCAATTCTCCTGTCTCAGCCTCCTGAGTAGCTGGGATTACAGGCATGCGCCACTGTGCCCAGCTAATTTTTTGTAATTTTTAGTAGAGACGGGGTTTCACCATGTTGACCAGGATGGTCTCGATCTGTTGACCTCGTGATCCACCCGCCTCGGCCTCCCAAAGTGCTGGGATTACAGGCTTGAGCCACCACGCCCGGCCTTTAATAAGATTTTTCTTACTGCTGAGTGGGGAATTGATAGAAAGGCAGCAAGAGTGGAAGCTGGAAGGTAGGATAACTTTTTTTATAACCACAGTTAAGAGTCAATGGCCTCTTAGACCAGAGTGGAAGCAGTGGAGATGGGAAAGTTGGGTGGATTAATTTAAGGATTATCTGTCCAAATAGGCCCACTAGTTTTTTGTTTTTTTGAGATGGAGTTTCGCTCTTGTTGCCCAGGCTGGAGTGCAATGGCACGATCTCGGCTCACCACAACCTCCGCCTCCTGGGTTCAAGCAATTCTCCTGCCTCAGCCTCCTGAGTAGCTGGGACTACAGGCACACGCCACCATGCCCAGCTAATTTTTTGTATTTTTAGTAGAGACGGGGTTTCACCATGTTGACCAGGATGGTCTCAATCTCTTGACCTCGTGATCTACCAGCCTCGGCCTCCCAAAGTGCTGGGATTACAGGCTTGAGCCACCGTGCCCGGCCTGTTTTTTTTTTTAAAAAAAGAATTATCTGGAGAATTTTCTTCAAGGGTGGCTTAAAAACAGTTATTCTAAGCATGAGTTCCAGAGAATGAGCATGTTCTTTAAAACCTATTTTCCCCACTATAGTGACCAACAGTCCAGAGCTAATGATTGACTGAAGTTAATACTCTGCAATATCACATTTGTTAATAATTTTTTTTTTTGAGACAAATTCTCACTCTGCCACCCAGGCTAAAGTGCAGTGGTGAGATTTTGACTGACTGTAACCTCTTCCTCCCAAATTCAAGCAATTCTCCTGCCTCAGCCTCCCAAGTAGCTGGGATTACAGGTGTGTGTCACTATGCCCAGCTAATTTTTGTATTTTTAGTACAGGGGGTTCCACCATTTTGGCCAAGCTGGTCTCAAACTCCTGACCTCAGGTGATCCGCCTGCCTTGGCCTCCCAAAGTGCTGGGATTACAGGCGTGAACCGCCTTGACCAGCCTGTTAATAATCACACCTATAATCCCAACACTTTGGGAGGCCAAGGCAGGTGGATCATGAGGTCAAGAGATCGAGACCATCCTGGTCAACGAGGTGAAACACCGTCTCCACTAAAAATACAAAAATTAGCTGGGCATGGTGGTGCGTGCCTGTAGTCCCAGCTACTCGGGAGGCTGAGGCAGGAGAATTGCTTGAACCCAGAAGGCGGAGGTTGCACTGAGCCGAGATTGGTCATTGCACTCCAGTCTGGGTAACAACAGCGAAACTCCATCTCAAAATAATTAATAATAATAATAATAATCTTTAGACTGGGAGTGGAAGTGGAAGATGGGCACAGCTTAACTTCCAGAGAAAAAAACAAAGTCCTCCCTCTTCTCTCAAGTCTATGGATTAAAGCCTTGGAGATTGGGTAAAATTTTCTTTTACCCTCTCTCTTGTGAAATCTAAAAGGAAGGAGAGATGTTTAGAACCTGCTTCTCAGATCCAATATTAACAGCATAATAAAGCGTATTAAAATGGGGAAGAGAATTTGCCTTTCTTTCTTAACACTTGTTTGAGCCGGGCGCAGTGGCTCAAGCCTGTAATCCCAGCACTTTGGGAGGCCGAGGTGGGTGGATCACACGGTCAAGAGATCAAGACCATCCTGGTCAACATGGTGAAACCTCATCTCTACTAAAAATACAAAAAATTAGCTGGGCATGGTGGCGCACTCCTGTAATCCCAGCTACTCAGGAGGCTGAGGCAGGAGAATTGCTTGAACCCAGGAGGTGGAGGTTGCAGTGAGCTGACATCGTGCCATTGCACTCCAGCCTGGGTAACAAGAGGGAAACTCTGTCTCAAAAAAAAAAAAAACTTGTTTGTATCGTATTTCTGTCCTATCAAGTCAACAAGTTCATACTGAGTCTGTACTATGTGTCCAGCCCTGGGATTTTCCCATTGGTGGTGAAGATGAGTAAGACAGTTCCTGATCTCTAGAAGTTTGTTATCTACCTGGAAAGATTAATGAAAACTCGATGCCATCTATAATCAATACAATGATATGAAATGCCACATAATTAAGTATTTAGAGTATGGTTCAGGTGACAAGTGCTATTAAATTACAAACAGAAGGAGGCAAAAGAAAGGGAACAGAAATTAGTATTAAGTATCACTCACATATTAGGCATTTTACATTGGGCCATTCATTGAATCTCACCATATTCCTGTAACAATAGGGTTGTGATGGGAGGAGAGGACATGGGGGCTGGGGTAGTCACAGAAGGGGATGTGAGTGAGTCTGTCTTGAACCAGGCTTGAAAGAGATGGAGAAACATGACAAAGATGAAGAAACCAACGTAAGCAGATGTGTTGAGCAACCATGTGGGAAAGGGAAGGGAGAAAATTGCTACTGAATCCTAGGGTGGGGCACAAATACGGAGAGGCTCAAATATCAGACAGGTTGTCAGATATATTTTAGTCAGTAACGGCAAGAAGAAATAAAAATATTGTTTTGTTTTGTTTTGTTTATTAATCACCATTAATATGGTAAAAATGGTAGAGGAATGTCTTCCATTTCAGACTCTTCCAATTTATAGGAAGTAGTATGAGGGCTGTATTCTGGCATATGGTGGTAGTAGAAATACAAATTAACAAAAAGATTTCATAGGAATGACTAGCAGGACTTAGAAACTGATTATTATTAGGTATATGGGAATACATCCTTAATATAGGAAATGAGTTCATCAAAGAGCATTCTAGAAATTTAAGTTATAGATCTTTGGGTAAATGTTGGCAGGGAGTATGGCACAGTGAATAACATGGGTTTTGAAATTAGCAAACCTGGGTGTGAGTTTCAGCCCCACTGAAACTTAATAGCTATGTAAACTAGTAAGTATTCTTGTATGCTTGTATGTAAGCTTGTATGTGTTCTCCTCTCAATCGGAATAACGAAAGTACCTACTTCGTTGGTTTGTTTTGAATATTGAACAATATGATTATTGTAAAGTACTTAGAGCAGCACTTGGCATACAATTAACATCCAATAAGTTTCAGTTGTTACTATTATTAAGTCCAAATGTCCTCTTAAGCAAAATAATACTTGCTTCATAAAATTGTTGTACCTAGGCTGGACACAGTGGCTCACACCTGTAATCCAAGCACTTTGGGAGGCTGAGGCAGACGGATCACTTGAGGTCAGAAGTTCAAGACTAGCCTGGCCAACATGGTGAAACCTTGTCTCTACTAAAAATACAAAAATTAGTCAGGCGGGTGGCGCATACCTGTAGTCCCAGCTACTCAGCAGGCTGAGGCATGAAAATCATTTGAACCTGAGAGGTGGAGGTTGCAGTGAGCTGAGATTCTGCAACTGCACTCCAGCCTGGGTGACCAAGACAGACTCTGTCACAAAAAAAAAAAAAAAAAAAAAAAAAAAAAATTGTTGTACCTAGAATAACTGTGCAATGTCCAGCACATACTATTGCCTAATAAATATTTACTGAAGCTGGGCACAGTGGCACATGACTGTAGACCCAGCTATTCGGAGGCTGAGGTGGGAGGATTGCTTGAGCCTAGGAGTTCAAGTCAAGCCTGGGCAACATAGAAAGACCCCGTCTCTAAAAATAAATGAATAGATAAATATTTTTTGAATGTGTAATTGAGACAATATATATAATTTCATTATATGTATTATCTATGTAATCAAGTAACACACAACCTACCAAATTACACAATCAGTAAACTCCATAAATGTTGTGGAGTTTCATTCTTCATCCCTTTTTCCTTTCCTTTCCCCCTAATCCTGTCCTCTTGGTAACACTGAGAGGTTGTCTGCTGTAAATAAAGATGAATTTGGTTTGAACATGCTTTGCTAAAATGATGAGAATTCAATTAGAAAATATCCACCAGACTACTGGAGATACAATCTTGAGATCTAGATTTGGGTGTTCTTGGCATTGAAGTGGTCCTACAGCTGTGGGCAGGAAGGCTGTATGTTTCACAAGAGGAAAAGAATGTGCTGTTGAGAATGGAGGACAATGAAATAAGAATTGGGCCTAGAAAACACTGGCAATTATGGGCTGGAGAAGGCAGATAAGGGAGCAAAAGAGACAGAAGGAAGGTTTGAGCAGTAACAGAGAATGAGAGTAGAAAGTTAAAGGAGGTGAGGGAAGGTTCAAGAAAGATTTGGAAATTAGTGGAATCAACAGCTCTGGTGTGACAAGGAGAATAAGAATGGTGAACTGATCACTAATCACATCAGGCACTTTCAAGACTGTTTCTCACCAAAATGAGTGGATCTGTCATCAAATGAAGGAGAAATTGGGTTTTAGACAGCAAACAACAAAACTCAAAAACCAAAAACCATCAGCTGTTCACTGCAGCTACTGACACTTGACTTCTTCTATTTTTTAATTTGGCTTAATTATCTTTATTTTATTTTATTTTATTTTATTTTAATTAATTAATTAATTTAATTTTTCGAGACGGAGTTTTGCTCTGTCACCAGGCAATGGCATGATCTCAGCTCACTGCAACCTCCGCCCCCCTGGTTCAAGCAATTCTTCTGCCTCAGCCTCCCAAGTACCTGGGATTACAGGCACGCACCACCACATCCAGCTAATTTTTGTATTTTTAGTAGAGACAGGGTTTCACCATGTTGGCCAGGATGGTCTCAATCTCCCGACCTCATGATCCTCCTGCCTCAGTCTCCCAAAGTGCTCAATTACAGGCATGAGCCACTGTGCCTGGCCCTTTATTTTATTTTTGGGACAGAACAATTTCAGCTCACTGCAACCTCTGCCTCCCAGGTTCAAGCTGTTTTCCTGCCCCAGCCTCCCAAGTAGCTGGGATTACAGGAACCCATCGCCACACCCAGCTAATTTTTTTTTGTTTTGTGTTGTTTTTAGTAGAGATGGGGTTTCACCATGTTAGCCAGGCTGGTCTCGAACGCCTGACGTCAGGTGATCCACCTGCCTTGGCCTCTCAAAGTGCTGGGATTACAGCCTTGAGCCACAATTTCCAGCCTACCTATGGTTCTTTTTTTTTTTTTTTTTTTTTTTTTTTAGACGAAGTTTCACTGTTGTTACCCAGAGTGGAGTGCAATGGCACGATCTCGGCTCACCACAACCTCTGCCTCCTGGGTTCAAGCAATTCTCCTGCCTCAGCCTCCCAAGGAGCTGGGACTACAGGCACGAACCACCATGCCCAGCTAATTTTTGTATTTTTAGTAGAGACGGGGTTTCACCTCGTTGACCAGGATGGTCTGATCTCTTGACCTCGTGATCCACCCGCCTCGGCCTCCAAAAGTGCTGGGATTAAAGGCGTGAGCCACCGCGCCCGGCCTAACCTATGGTTCTTAACTCTCATCTGCTGGTAAGGCTTCCTCACCCAACTTCCTTATACTCTAAACGCTCCAACTAGAGGCTGATTTATACATGAAAACTGGTAACACAAGCAGACTATATTAACTACTTAATGTATGTAAAATAAATAGTAATTGTTGACTTTCATATGAATAAGGAAAATGCAAATTATGACAACAATGAGATATAGTATTCCTATTCCTTCACACGGGTTTTACCTAATACTATATGTTTGTATAAATGACAAAACTATTACTGTAGCAAAAGTTTATTCACTATTCTTATAAGAGATTTCTATTGCACTCCCAAAATAAAGTGTTATAGGCCGGGCGCGGTGGCTCAAGCCTGTAATCCCAGCACTTTGGGAGGCCAAGGTGGGTGGATCACAAGGTCAAGAGATCGAGACCATCCTGGTCAACATGGTGAAACCCCATGTCTACTAAAAATACAGAAAATAAGCTGGGCATGGTGGCGCGTGACTGTAATCCCAGCGACTCAGGAGGCTGAGGCAGGAGAATTGCTTGAACCCAGGAGGCAGAGGTTGCGGTGAGCCGAGATCGCGCCATTGCACTTCAGCCTGGGTAACGAGCAAAACTCCGCCTCAAAAAAAAAAAAAAAAAAAGTGTTGTAAGAAGTAAAGGGAGAGGAAGGCTTCTGCCAAGTTTAGGATCTTTTCCCACGTTCCTGTCCATTTCACCTCATTTGCTTTGCTTTTCTATCTTTCAGGTGGAATGCATCCTTGGGACATCTTTGCATAGCCCCATTTAGGAAGAAGCTCTGTGATATGTGAACTGTGAGTTTGCTCAAACAAGTCCAACTCTTTATAAGGCATAGAGGTAGATGTCAGGGCTGGGATGGAAGAGCCAGCAGCAATAGAAGGCCAGGGCCAGCTCCCAAGCCCCCACCAGGGTCCTCTCAGGAAGGCTGTGGCTGCTGCCCTGGCCCTGGATGGGGAATCTACAATGGGGCACAGGAAGAAGAAGAGGAAAGAGTCTCGCCCAGAATCAATCATCATCTACCGCTCAGACAATGAGAAAACAGATGACGAACTCGGGGAATCAGAAGGTGGAGATCGGCCTAAAGAGGAGGAGGGAGACGATTTCCTAGACTATCCGGTGGATGATGGTGAGTCTCTCTAGGGCCACTTGTTTAAAGCTGTGGGAAGGAAACCAAAAGAGGATCTTCCAGAACAGACAGGCATATGCTTACTGACCTATTTCTTCTTGGTAATACATTTCTTCTTGCAATATCATGGCCATTTATTTATTTATTTGAGACAGAGTCTCGCTCTGTTACCCAGGCTGGAGTGCAGTGGCGTGATCTCAGCTCACTGCAACTTCCACCTCCTGGGTTCAAGTGATTCTCCTGCCTCAGCCTCCCGAGTAGCTAAGACTACAGGCGTGCCACCACACCCAGCTAATTTTTGTATTTGGCCAGGCTGGTCCTGAACTCTTGACCTCAAGTAATCAGCTTCCCAAAGTGCTGGGATTATAGGCCTGAGCCACTGTGCCTGGTGCAATATTACAGTCTTCATTCAACAAATGATTAGTATTTACTGAGCACCTATTATATTCTTTTCTAGATGATACAGAAATCTCCACCCTTTCAAAATTTCTAATGTAATGGAAGAGGCTGATTTAGACACAAAAATTGGTAACACAAGCACACTATGCTAACTACTTAATGTATGTAAAATAAACAATAATTGTTGACTTTCATATGAATAAAAAATGGAACTTATGACAACAATGAGATACAGTATTCCTTCACATGCAGGCTTGCCAAAACTTGGGTAAAATATGATCACATCAATATGAGCAAATGGCTATACTTCATACACTTTAGTGGAAGTGGAAGCTGCTTCAACCACTTGTGGAAGAAATTTGTCAACAATTTATTAAATATTTAGTAAAATTCACAGTTTCAAACAAGCGTACTCCATGATCCAGAAATGTTCAGTATCTACCCCATGAAACTTATGCCCATGGTTATCCTGGTATAAGGAGGCATGTGTAAGAATACTTGTTGCAAAACAAGTATTGTGTGTTTGTATTAAGAAACTATGGGCCGGGCGCGGTGGCTCAAGCCTGTAATCCCAGCACTTTGGGAGGCGGAGGCGGGTGGATCACTAGGTCAAGAGATTGAGACCATCCTGGTCAACATGGTGAAACCCGTCTCTACTAAAAATACAAACAATTAGCTGGGCATGGTGGCGCGTGCCTGTAATTCCAGCTACTCAGGAGGCTGAGGCAGGAGAATTGCCTGAACCCAGGAGGCGGAGGTTGCGGTGAGCCGAGATCGCGCCATTGCACTCCAGCCTGGGTAACAAGAGCGAAACTCTGTCTCAAAAAAAATAAAAAAAAGAAACTATGATGTGTTTGTTAAGAAATATGCTTGTATTAAGAAACTATGATGTGTTTGTATTAAGAATTATTTTGTGTTTGTATTAAGAAATAGGCTTGTATTAAGGAACTATGATGTGTTTGTATTAAGAATTATTTTGCAGGCTGGACACAGTGGCTCACACCCATAATCCCAGCACTTTGGGAGGCCCAGGCAGGCAGATCACTTGGGGTCAGGAGTTTGACACCAATGACAGGAGTTTGAAACTGGCCAACATGGTGAAACGCCATCTCTACTAAAAATACAAAAATTAGCCAGGTGTGGTGGGGTGTGCCTGAGGTCCCAGCTACTTGAAAGGTCAAGGCAGGAGAATCACTTCAACCTGGGAGGTGGAGGTTGCAGCAAGTTGAAATCCCGTCACTGCACTCCAGCCTGGGTGACAGAGCAAGACTCCATCTCAAAAAAATAATTATTGTTGTGATTATGGTGGTGCAGCTGTAGAGAGATGAGGCAGATCTATTTGTGTAGATGGATAGATCTGTAAGACATTCGCTCACAGTGAACAAGATAAGCAGTTTCCCTGCTCTCCTGCAGTTGACCTGCAGGGAAAGACAGACAGTGAACAAGTCAACAAATAAGAGATACTTTTAGGTAGTGGTACGAGTTCCAGAGATGACAAAACCACACTGATTGGAAGATGAGTACTGGTGGAGGCTGGAAAGTGGAGGAGGAGAGATTGCGTGTTGTGAGAGGGTTCTCTGAGGAGGTGACATTTGAACTGATCCAAGTGATGTGAGGGAGCCACCCTGAAAAATTCTAGGGCAGAGCTTTTAGAGCAGATGATACATTTCTTCTTGCAATATTATTGTCTTTTATTTATTTAGAGACAGTCTTTCTCTGTCACCCAGAACAAGGGCAAATCCCCTGAGGTGAGAGCAGCTTTGGCTGGTTTATAGAAAGGCATTATTTCAGTGCAGGGAGTGTAGAGAATAAGAGAGAGGATGGTGAGAAGAAGACAGGAAGGTAGGCAGGGCCTGGATTGTGGTGGCCTTTGCAGGTCTCAGTAAAGAGTTTGGGATTTGTTCTAAGTGAAAGAGGAAGTCGATGGAGGACTTTTAAGCAGAGAGACATCATCTCATTTATGTTTGTAAATGATCACTCTGGCTTCTCTATAAAGAATGGATTACAAGGGTTAAGACTGTATGCTGATGGGAAATTATTGTGTCCCTGCAGCCACAGTAGCACTAATGGAGAAGTTCAAGTGAAGCAGGAGATAGCTGGAGAAGGGAAGCTGAATTCAGGATGCAATCTGAACTTGCTGATTGATCAGAGGCAGGAAGTGAGGGAAAGAGAGGAATCAATAATGACTTCTGGGTGATTGACAGGAGCGATGGGGAGGATAGTTGGTGGTGTTGTTTACTGAGATGAAGACTGAAAAGATGGGGTCTCGGGACTGCACATTCCTTTTTCTGGGTAAGCAGAGTCCCTGCCATTATCCAGGGCTCTGATCTTTAGGTGGCTTCATCTTACCTCTCAGTGTCGGGCAAAGAGGCCACAGGGCCCAAGGGCCATGCCTATCTAAAGCCTGTACTTTCCCATCCCCACCCACACTTCTAGGGTGGCCAGAAGATGGCTATTTGGTTCTATGTAGATGTGTTGTGTGTTTGTGTGTGTGTATGTGTGGTATGTGGTATGCAGTGTCGGTGTGGTGTATGTGGGAGTGTGTGGGCTGTTTTTGTGGGTTGTACAATAGGTGCACGCAATGTGTGGTGTGTTGTGTGTGGGGGTGAGTGTCGGTGGTGTGGTATGGGGGAGTATATGGTGTATGTATGTGTGTGTGGTATGTGTGTGATGTGTGTATGGGTGTGGTATGTGTGGTGTATGTATGGGTATGTGGTGTGTGTGTAGAATGTGTACATATGTGGGGTGTGCATATGGCATGCGGGTGGGTATGTGTAGTGTGTACATGTGGCATGTGCGGGGGTAGCATTTGTGTGTATGTGTGGTGTATGTATGTGTGGTATGTGTGATATGTATATGTGTGTGTGGCGTGTGTGTGGTATGTGTGGTGCGTGTATGTGTGGTATGTATGGGTGTGGTATGTATATGATACAGGTTTGTATGTGTTGTATGTGGTATATGGGGGGGGTGTGTGTGTTATGCATGGTGTTTGGTGTATGTGGTGTGTGTATGGGATAGTGTAGTGTGTGTTTGTGGAATGTGAGTGGGAGATGGCTTGTGTGTGTGTAGTATGTCAGAGGGTGTATGTGTGTGGCATATATGTCATGCATGTGTGTATTATGTGTGCAGCCTCTGGATGTGAGGGCTGGATCAGGCATGTGCCTGGCCCCCTCTTGGGAAGCACAGAACCAGGCATGAGAAGGGAAAGTGGTGGCTGTCCATCAGCCCAGCACATACACATGCAATCTTGACACAGTAGCTGACACACATGAGCAGTATCTTCACAGCACTTGTTACCTAGAAATAGGATCATCATTTGCATCATGGCTGTAGCGAAGTTCTTCACACGCCCCAATGCCACAGAGATCGTGCCAAGATTGAGGCCCCAAAAAGTGTAGAGATACATGAAAAACAAGCTTAACTTGCCTCACAATTTTATCAGGACCCAGGAACAAGGAATGAGAGTTCATGTGGGGGCAATAACACCAGCAGTTGCCCTCCCTAGAGAGACCTACTCAGTCACCCACTCAGGACTATGCCAATGCTGTAAAAAAGGCTACTCTTGTCCTCATCCCCAGCCTCAGGGGTGTGACACGGAGATGCAATGCCCACTCTTCCGATCTTGACTCTCACCTTCTTTGTACCCTGCAGATATGTGGAATCTGCCTCTGGACAGCCGTTATGTCACCTTAACTGGGACCATCACACGAGGGAAGAAAAAGGGTCAGATGGTAGACATCCATGTCACATTGACAGAGAAGGAGCTGCAGGAACTGACCAAGCCTAAAGAGTCATCAAGGGAAATGACACCTGAAGGAAGAATGGCCTGCCAGATGGGAGCCGACCGTGGGCCCCATGTGGTCCTATGGACGCTGGTCTGCCTGCCTGTGGTCTTCGTCCTCTCTTTCGTTGTCTCTTTCTACTACGGCACTATCACCTGGTACAACATCTTCCTCGTGTATAATGAGGAGAGGACCTTCTGGCACAAGATCTCGTATTGCCCCTGCCTCATTCTCTTCTATCCGGTGCTCATCATGGCCATGGCTTCTTCCCTGGGCCTCTATGCCGCTGTGGTCCAGCTCTCCTGGTCCTGGGGAGCATGGTGGCAAGCTGCCCGGGACATGGAGAAAGGCTTCTGTGGCTGGCTCTGCAGCAAGCTGGGTCTGGAGGACTGTTCTCCCTACAGCATTGTGGAGCTACTTGAATCCGACAATATCTCAAGCACTCTCTCCAACAAGGATCCCGTCCAAGAAGTAGAAACGTCCACGGTCTAAACTCCCAACTTACTTTATTCTCTGGTTCCAGTAGCCTATACATAATCTTATAATTCCAGCACATTCTTTCTTTAAATTACCCCCTACTCCCCCTCAGTTCTTCTGGGAAACTGTAGTTCATACTGATCAGTTTTACCATCTTGAGGGTTCCAGGAGGGCAGGGAACGGAAGAGCAATTGCACCAAAGCAGTTCATCCAATGGACAAACTCTTCTGATTCCCTGCCCTAAAATCACCATGTATCTAGGACAAAGAACTCTGCTGTATGTCATTTTTGGGAGCCTGAAGATGTTACTGGTGCCTGGAACTGAGGGGAGTATGTGACTAAATGTGTCAGGGAGAATAAGGAGCCTCAGGGGTGACCGCATCCACTGAGATAATAGGGATGGAGTGAGACATTTAGGAAGCTGGGCTATCACAGTGTAGCAGAAGGTAAAGATCTGTGTGTATCATTTAGATTTAGCTGCATAGAATTAAAAACCTAAAATATCAGTGGTTTAAACAAGATAGAAGTGTATTCCTGGCCAGGCGCGGTGGCTCACGCCTATAATCCCAGCACCTTGGGAGGCCAAGGCAGGACCTCTTGATCACAAGGTCCTAACCAATATGGTGAAACCCCAGTTCCACTAAAGGTACAAAAATTAGCTGGGCGTGGTGTCACGTGCCTATAGTCCCAGCTACTTGGGAGTCTGAGGCAGGAGAATCGCTTAAACCAGGGAGGCGGAGGTTACAGTGAGCCGAGATCGTGCCACTATCGTCTAGCCTGGTGACAGAGAAAACTCTGTATCAAAAAAAAAAAATTAAAATTAAAATAAGTGTATTTCTTGTACAGAAGCATCCCAGAGGCAGACCATCCTAGGACCCTATGAAGTAATTCAGGTCCCAGGCTTCTTTTATTTCTGTACCATCAGTAGGATGTGACCCTTCTCACCCTTATCTGCAACATCCCAGGGCTGATTACATCTTCAGCCGTCACATCATGTTTCTGATAAAATAGAGGAAGAGGCAGAGAAAGCACACACCCTTCCTGTTCAAGAAGACTTCCCAGAAGTCCCACTCAATCCTTCTTTTGTCTCATTGGCAAGACCTCAATCACCTGATCTCACAAGCAAGAGGCTGGAAATGTAGTTGTTTGGCTGGGTAGCTATATTCTCAGCTAAATATTGGGTTGGTACTAATTGGAGAGAAAAATGAAGAATGGTTATTTGTTTTTTGTTTTGTTTTTTTGAGATGGAGTCTCACTCCTGCTGAGGCTGGAGCGCAGTGGCACTACCTCGGCTCACTGCAACCTTTGCCTTCTGGGTTTAGGTGATTCTCTAGCCTCAGCCTCCCGAGGCGTGTACCACCATGCCTGGCTAACTTTTATATTTTTTTAGTAGAGACAGGGTTTCACCATGTTGCCCCGACTGGTCTTGAACTTCTGACCTCAAGTAATCCACCTGTCTCGGCTTCCCAAAATGCTGGGATTACAGGCAAAAATGGTTATTTTGGTAGGCAAGTCAGAATCTTTGCCTCACAATGATCATTTAAATACATTCAGAATTCCAAACTGCTAATATAGTTTTATTTATTTATTTATTTATTTATTTATTCATTCATTCATTTATTTGGGCCTGAATCTTACACAGAGAATTTATATATAGATATTAGCTATATATATTTCATATATGCTATACATAGATATTAGCACCTCACGTATTTGACAGTTAAACTTCCTTAATGTCATGTGATTTTTTTTTTTTTTTGGAAAGGAATAGTGGAAGGAGAGTACAATGTACAATAGTAGCATAACTCTTTGTCCTGGTGGTGGAGGTGGAACAGGGGTGGTGATATTTAACCTAGATTAAAGACCAGGAAGGGAGGGATTGCATCTGCCAAAGTTTCCTCCAACAGGGATCAGTAGCTCTAAGGACAAAGAAGCCCGATTTTGCCTTCTGTTGTTTGGCAGAAGCTCACTCAGAAGTTTACTCCCTCCGACCTTTCTGAATTTAACAACAGACATGATCTTTGCTGTGCTGAGAAACTTGTGTCTTCCTGGCCTGTAGGGAGTGCAAACCAGATTAATCCAGATTAATAGACTCTGAACTTAAAAAAACAATCATTCTAAGGGTGTCCTAATTTTAAAAGATCAACTCCTAACAGGTCAGCAGAATTTGGAGACTTGGGTCCTTATAAGAATAGCTGGTGCTCTTTTCTTGTTCATGTCTAAGAACAAAGCTGTTGAAAAAACTGCAATGAATCAAACCAGAGTAGCTGGCCATGCTCCCCCACAGAGAGCCCGGGGCATGCGCCTAATGTATGGTGCTGAGCTCCACCTTCAGAGGAACTCTTTTTTTTTTTTTTTAAATAACTATTATTAGCTTGCAAGAAAAAAAAGTGCCCAACAGTTTTAAAGTTAACCTTGGTGCTCTATGGTGCATTTGCAGAGATATTAACAGTTAAAATGAAGACAAGGAAAATAAAAATAAAGTCTGACTAACATTTGCTCGTTTTGTCTTTAAGGATCTTCAGAATTGCTTTGAATGCTATGGCTTGCAGAAAGAGGGTGAGCATGGTGGCTGTCCTATATATATGTGATGATCTTAATATGAATCCTATGTCTGCGTTCTTTCCACGCTCCACTAATTTGGGGGGATTCTATTTATGCAGACTGTTTTCACAAACCACATTAGAAACTTGCAACCACATTTGTCCCATTTTTCTAGGGTTGGGAAACCAATGGCAAAAGCCTGAAAGTTATGATTAGGACACAGGTGGCGTGGCTGTGGTATGAGGGAAGAGTGTGGGATGATAATGAGCTTCTTCCCGAGAAACACCTAGATAAAGTCGACATGGCCTTCACTCTAGTTGGGCTCATCATCCGGAAGAAATAGGCTTGTAAATTAAAATCATTTCAAAGAGGTTCTATAGAGGTATGTAAAAGCCTAGACTAGAGGAAGGAAAAACAGAACCAAAGCAGTCTCATCTTTGCTCTCAGCAAACACCTAGAGACCATGAGATGAGAAACTGGAGAGATCAATACCATATTTGAACAATTCTTTTGGCTCACAGTTACCTAATCGTCATGGTGATTATCAAGGAGGAGGACTATATTTTCCAGTTGCTTTGCAGGCATAATGTGCTGAGCTGGATAAACCATTATCTGGCCCATAGGGTGACACTGATGTTTCCAAGCCATCTTGTCTATTGACATTAGGTAGCACCCTTCATTTCACTTCATATCCAAGGGGAATAAAACCCATGATTTCCTGTAAAATAAGATTTTAAATCTTAAAAACACCTAATTTCAGATGATGTGAAAGTTCCATTCTGCTGTTTTGGAATGGCCACCCAGAGCTTAATTTGTGCAGTGTTGAAAAAGATTAGCAGACATCAAAGATTTCTCTTCCTCACCTCAATTAATTTAATTACTAACGTAAACCTTTCAATGTTATGTGAGTTTTAAAAAATGATATTTGATGGAAGTGGTGGAATGTGGTACCATCACTTCTCACATCTGTTTGAGTTTTAAAAAATGATATTTGATGGAAGTGGTGGAATGTGGTACCATCACTACTCACATCTGTTTGGGATATGAACTTTTCTTTTTTTTTTTTGAGATGGAGTTTTGCTCTTGTCACCCAGGCTGGAGTGCAATGGCACAATTTCCACTCACTGTAACCTCCAGCTCCTGGATTCAAGCGATTCTCCAGCCTCAGCCTCCCGAGTAGCTGGGATTACTGGCATGCCACCACCATGCTCAGCTAATTTTTGTATTTTTAGTAGAGACAGGGTTTCACCATTTTGGCCAGGCTGCTCTAGAATTCCTGACCTCAGGTGATCCGCCTGCCTCAGCCTTCCAAAGTGCTGGGATTACAGGCATGAGCCACCGTACTCAGCAGGGATATAAACTTTTATTTCATATCTGTCCCCTGTTAATATCCTACCTATTTTCTCAGTTACCCATATAACCATTGTAACAGCTCTCTGTCAGAGCACAAAGCCTGTACATTTTAATTCTTTATAATGCTCACAAAGTCATTACTCACATAGTTCACTTTCAAGGTAATATCAAATGCACACATATTCCAGCAATTTAAATTATAATTTCAAAATAAAATTTTTATTTGCCTTTGTTAACTACCCTGAAGGGAGCACAGAGTCTACACCGTAGCAATAGTTCAAAAAAGCTCTGTTGTTTGTTACCTATTGCTGCTGTAACACCTACCACAGTGGTATAAAGTAACAGCATGGTGTGTGCCTGTGATGCCAGCCTCTCAGGAGGCTGAGGCAGAAGGATAGTTTGAGCCTGGGAGGTGGAGTTTGCAGTGAGCTGAGATTGAGCTACTGTACTCCAGTCTGGGTGACAGAGTGAGATCCTGTCTCAAAACAAAAAGAAAACCAAAAAAGCCACCAAAATAGCCATTCAATTCCTTTGCTCACCATTCTGTAATTTAGTCAGAGCTTGGTGGAGACTACTAGTCTCTGCTCAATGTTTCTAAGCTGAGACATTTTCCTAGGCTGCCAAATTGGTGCTGGGTGACATCCAGGTTACTCTTGGGGCTATTGGTGCCCAGGACTTGTATTAGTCTGCTTGGGCTACCATAACAGACTTGGGCTGTCATTAACAGACAATACCATAGACTAGGTAGCTTAAGTGACAGAAATTAATTTTCTCACAGTTCTAGAGGCTGGAGGGATCTCTTCTTGGGTTGCAAGTGGCTGTCTTCTCACTCTGTGCTCACATGACCTCTTTGTGTGAGCAGGGAGAGAGAGAATGAGAGAGGAGAGAACTCTCTAGTGTCTCTTTGTCTCTTGTCTGTTTTCATAGGGGCACTAATTCCATCTTGAGGGCCACCCTCATGACTTTACCTAAGTCCGATCACCTCCCAAAGGCTTTATTTCCAAACATGATCACATTGGGAATTAGAATTACAGCATGTGAATCTGGGGGAGACACAAACATTCCGTCCATAATAGGGCTCCTTCATGTGGCTGTTGGGCTTTCACAGCATGACAGTCTTCATACATGGTATCTGGGTTCACCAGGGTGCAAAAGAAAAACCTGCCAGGTGTTCTGAAGGTTTCAGCCCAGAACTGCCTACTGTCACTTTTGACACATTTTACTGGTTATAGCAGGTGGTAAGGGCAGTCCAGATTCAAGGGGAAGAAACTACATGAGGGTGTGAATGCTGGGAGGTATGGCGTATGGGGGGGATCACCAAAATAACATTTTATCATTTCCCCCTTCCTTTCCCATCTCTTTCCTTTATATGGCACATGGCTCTTACACATTTCTCTCTGTCTAACTTCCCCTTCAGCCCCCCAACACATACATCATTGCCACCACTGAACCTCCTGTCCCACTTTATACCCAATTCTGTATCGTACAAATCCAAAGGGATTTTGCACTGACAGATAGAAACAGAACCAACAAAGCCAGAATCCTTTTGTTGTGGGGGAGGAAGGGAATAGCCATATATGCTGTCACATCATTAATAATGTTTATCCCTTGATTCTTGATTAATGAATGCCCTTTGCCAGGGGAAGCAATGCTTAAAGTCCATATCCCTTCTCAGCATCACAGATGCCTAGCTGCGTAGAGGCGGATGGTTCTAAGGACTTACACAAAAACAGCTGAGATGCAAACAAGCACAGCTACTAGAACTTCTTTCATTTCTTCCAAGAAACAGACCTGTACTGAAGGGTGTGTGGGAGACAGTGGGGAGACAGGGAGAAGGAGAAGAAGAAAGAGGAGGAAGAGGAGCAGGAGGAAGAGGAAGGGGGAAAGCAAGAGGGAGGGAAGGAAGGAAGAAGAGAGGGAGAGAGAAACAGAAAGGAAGAGGAAAAAGAATTAGAGACCATATACAAGATAAAAGCATGGACATAAAGCATCCAAATTTCCTTCATTGTCTTGAGTCTCCAGTAATTCTTTTTACCAGTCATATTAAAAACATTATTTTTTAGGCTGAGCATGGTGGCTCACACCTGTAACCCCAGCACTTTATGGGACTGAGGTGAGAGGATCACCTGAGGTCAGGAGTTTGAGACCAGCCTGGCCAATATGGCAAAACTCTGCTCTCCACTAAAAATACAAAAATTAGCCAGGTGCAGTGGTGGGCACCTGTAATCCCGCCACTTAGAAGGCTGAGGCAGGAAAATCATTTGAGTCTGGTGTGGCAGGGGTGGAGGTTGCAGTGAGCCAAGATCACGCCACTGTACTCCATCCTGGGTGCAGAGTGAGACTGTCTGGAAAAAAAAAAAACCCACAAAACAACAACAGCAAAAGACGATATCAGGTACATTATCTCCAAATGTTGATAAGTTGTTACATAAGTGCCATCAATTCACAGTTTAATATCATATACTCTACACATTCAATTTTTCAGACTTTCACAGCATATTAACAAAGTTACCAGGAAAACTGAACTAGCACAACCAAAGAGGCTTCAGAGTGCAATCTTTTGTTTTGTTTTGTTTTGTTTTTTGAGACAAGAGTCTTACTCTGTCGCCCAGGCTAGAGGGCACTGGCACAGTTTTGGCTCACTGCAACCTCCACCTCCAGGTTCAAGTAGTTCTCTGCCTCAGCCTCCTTAGTAGCTGGGACTATAGACACTGGCCACCACATCTGGTTAATTTCTGTATTTTCAGTAGAGACAGGGTTTCACTGTCTTGGCCAGGCTGGTCTTGAACTCCTGACCTTGTGATCCACCTGCCTCGGACTCCCAAATTGCTGGGATTATTTACAGGCATGAGCCACTGTGCCCAGCCAGAGTGCACACGGTATTGACCTGGATAGCAACGTGATCCAGGAGTGGTTTTCTTCGGGAAACAATTCTAAAAAACCCATGACACTTTGAGAGGCCGAGGCAGGCGGATCACGAGGTCAAGAGATCGAGATCATCCTGGCCAACAAGGTGAAACCCTGTCTTTACTAAAAAATACAAAAATTAGCTGGGCATGGTAATGTGTGCCTGTAGTCCCAGCCACTCGGGAGGCTGAGGTAGGAGAATCGCTTGATCCCAGGAGGTGGAGGTTGCAGTGAGCTGAGACTGTGCCATTGCACTCCAGCCTGGCACCTGGCAACAAAGCAAGACTCCATCTCAAAAGAAAAAGAAAAAAAAAACTATGAAAGTAGAATTAATTTAAAATTTTCAAGTCACATTAAATGCATGACTGTGACTCTATATTGCTATTTAGTATGCTTTATACTATAGGAAATAAAATAATCCCTCCCTAGGGAATGTTAGACTGACTTCAAGGACAGTCAAAGCCTCCCATGATTCACTATCCCACTGTTTTCTGGTTGTACCAAACAATAAACAAGTGAATTATTTCACTTTTAAAAGCTACACTTTAAGGTTGACATGGGCAGATCACGAGGTCGGGAGTTCAAGACCAGCCTGGACAACACGGTCAAACCCCGTCTCTACTAAAAATTTCAAAAAAATTAGCCAGGCATGGTGGCACATGCTTGTAGTCCTAGCTACTCAGGAGGCTGAAGTAGGAGAATCACTTGAACTCGGGAGGTGGAGGTTGCAGTTAGCCAAGATCATTCACTACACTCTAGCTTGGGCAAACAGAGTAAGACTTCATCTCAAAAAAAAAAAAAGCTACACTTTAAAAAATGGGATGAAGTGGGATTCTCTCCAGAGCTACTAAAAAACTTGCATTTACAAAATAGTTAAGAAATATTCCTCTGAGGCCAGGTGCAGTCGCTCACGCCTGTAATCCCAGCACTTTGGGAGGCTGAAGCGGGAGGATCGCTTGGGCCCAGGAGTTCAAGACCAGCCTGGGCAATATAGGAAGACCCTGCCGCTCCTCCTCCCTGCAAAACAACCCACAAAAATTAGCTGGGCTTGGTGGCACACACCTGTGGTTCCAGCTACTTGGAAGGCTGAGGTAAGTGAATCGCTTGAACCCAGGAGCTCCAGGTTGCAGTGAGCTATGATTGTGCTACTGGATTCCAGCATGGGCAGAGGGAGACCCTGCCTGCCTGTCTGTCCGTCTCTCTCTAGCTCTGGATTGTACAAGGGAGACAGGAACACTGATAAGGTATGGTATGTGACACTAACCAGACCTGACTTCTTTCTGTCCTGTTTCGCCAGAGGCTGGACTCTCCTCGTTTTAGCTTCCCCATTTTCCACAGGTGTATCTTTCGATTCCTGGTTAGCTAGTTGGGCTGTTTGCCCTTTGCTCCCGTTTTTCCCTTTGTTTGCTCTTTGTCTGAAAATTTATGCAGTCCTGCTGCTTTCGTTGGGCTTGGTTTCCACTTTTGCTGGAGCGAATTTAGCTGACAACCTCGAAGATCTTCACCGCATCATCTGCTGAGCTGATCTTTCTCTTGGGCATCTTACCCGCAGGGAAGGGTGAGTGTCAGTGTCTCTGCCTGCAGCAGCCCACGGGAAGCTGAGCAGCCAGGGCGCTGCCGCTCCTTAAAAGTATTTTAAAAAGTAATATTTCAGCTTTTAAATAGCTCCTTGAGTTGGAATCAAAAGCTGGAAGAACCTCCTGGGCTCCATGAGCACGTCTGAAAATGTCTGACTCTACGAGCTTCAATATAATTTTGGCTTATGAATTCTCCATGTCTTTTTCAGCTTCAGTTTTTGCTTTTCCCAGAAACAATTTTCAAGCAGAAGAGAATATTGATTAGACTTGCTTTTCTCAGTTTGGGCAGAGGTTTGCAGATACATTGCAGGTTGCCAGATCTTTCGTTTAGCCACTTGTCAGGCTGGGGTCATTAGATATAGAAAGCAGTTATTTCTAAGCAAGGTACTACTTGGGCCTGTCTCAAAGGGGTAGGGGCTGTGGGCTGGACAAAGCGCTCGTGATCAAGTAAAGCACTGTGATGACAGCTGCTATTGCTATAATATCTCCCTAGACTTGTCTTTTTTTTGATACGTTGTCTTGCTCTGTCATCAGGCTGGAATGCAGTGGTGCGATCTTGCCTCACTGCAACCTCTGCCTCCCGAGTTCAAGCAATTCTCCTTCCTGAGTAGCTGGGACTACAGGTGTGCACCACCACGCCCAGCTAATTTTTGTATTTTTAGTAGACACCGGGTTTCACCATGTTGGTCTGGCTGGTCTCGAACCCCTAACCTCGTGATCCGCCCACCTTGGGCTCCCAAAGTGCTGGGATTCCAGGATTCGTCTTCTAAATTAAACCTCGACTCCTCCCTTCCAACCTGGAGCCACTGCTAACCATTGGCAGCGTCTAATGCCTCCGGGCGTTTGTGCATGCCATTTTCTCAGCAAAGTAGAATCTCCTTTCTGTTCTTGGGAAAGTCTACTCTTCTTCAGCAGTTGGTTCTAAGGTTATCACATTCGTGAAGTCTTTCATTATCACAATTTTTAGAAGAAACTGAATCTTTTAGAGAAGTTAAGTGACTTTCTGCATTCACACTCATACTCAAGGAAATCTAACTTCAAAATAACCAAAAATAAAAGTAAAAAAAAATCCCATAAAAGAGAAGAAAAAAGCAGATTTAAAAAAATGAAAAAATGAAATTAAAAACACAAGATTTTTTTTAAAGTTAAAAAAAGAAAATCTAACTCCAGAGCTCTGACTCAAAATGCTGTGTTATTCTCAATGAGAGAAAAGGGAAGTGAGCCGGGCGCGGTGGCTCAAGCCTGTAATCCCAGCACTTTGGGAGGCTGAGGCGGGCGGATCACAAGGTCAAGAGATCAAGACCATCCTGGTCAACATGGTGAAACCCATCTCTACTAAAAATACAAAAAATTAGCTGGGCATGGTGGCGCGTGCCTGTAATCCCAGCTACTCAGGAGACTGAGGCAGGAGAATTGCCTGAACCCAGGAGGCGGAGGTTGCGGTGAGCCGAGATAGCGCCATTGCACTCCAGCTGGGTAACAAGAGCAAAAACTCTGTCTCAAAAAAAAAAAAAAAGAAAAGAAAAGAAAAGAAAAGGGAAGTGAATCTTTAAGTGCTTAAGTGAATCGTTAAGTGAATCTGCCATACTAGCGTCTCCTGCATCTCAAAAGACCAAAGGGGCCGGGCGCGGTGGCTCAAGCCTGTAATCCCAGCACTTTGGGAGGCCCAGGCGGGTGGATCACGAGGTCAAGAGATCGAGACCATCCTGGTCAACATGGTGAAACCCCGTCTCTACTAAAAATACAAAAAATTAGCGGGGCATGGTGGCGTGTGCCTGTAATCCCAGCTACTCAGGAGGCTGAGGCAGTAGAATTGCCTGAACCCAGGAGGCGGAGGTTGCGGTGAGCCGAGATCGCGCCATTGTACTCCAGCCTGGGTAACAAGAACGAAACTCCATCTCAAAAAAAAAAAAAAAAAAAAAAAAAAAGACCAAAGGTTCCCGACTAGGGCGGAACGGAGGGAAGCTGCGCATGCTCGGCGGAAATCTGCGCATGCTCAGAGCTCCGGGCATGACTTTCCCCGCCCCTTTTAGGCCTAGCAGGAAGCGAAGCGGCTCTTCTCGCTATCTGCCGCTAGTTTACCGGAAGCGAGTTGCGACTCGGCAGGTTCCCGCCCGGAAGCAGCGACCAAAGCGCCTGAAGACCGGCAACATGGTGCGGTCGGGAAATAAGGTATAAAGAAAGCCTTGGGGTTGGGCCTTACTCATGCCGGGGATCCGGAAAGGGAGCTTCGGAAGCAGGAATCGTGGGATCATGGCGGTGCCAAGGAATGGGGCAAGAGAAGATCATGGTGGTGGGCTCCGTCAGGAGGGCCGGGACCGAGAGATGCGCTATCAGAAAAGCTGGGGATTTGAGGTTCCAAGATCTGAATTTAAGCCTCGCTGACTCTCCAGCTTTTCCACTATCCACCCATCCCATCCCTCTTCTCCCTCTCTACCTGCTCTTTGTCTCACCTCCTTCCCCACGCGCCTCCCCCTCTCCCGCTTTATCCCATTCCACCCCCCAACTCCACTTTCTGTATTATTTCTGAGCCTGTGTTCCTGAAATCTCTCCGATTATGAAAATTGGCGGTGGTAAAGCAACTACCCCACAGGGCTTATTGTAAAACTTCAGAGAGGGACTATCTGTGACTTAAATAACTTAAAATGTGAAGTGTCGTATCATTATCTCTATAATAACGTAATATCTCGCATTTATTGAAAGCCTACTCTGAGACACGGTTCTAAACCTTTTATTCCTATCTCATTTAATCTTCACAATCCTTTTAAATGGAAGCTATCCTCATTTTGCAAGTGGGAAAACCGAAGAATAAGGGACTGTTTGGTCTCCATGGGCCTTTCGTGGTGAAATCCGGATTTCAATCCAAACTGTCTGGTTTCAGGGCCCTGGAGAATCTCTGTGATGCTAGAAATCTATGACCGTTGGTGTCGCAGATCGATAGCAGAAATTACAATGAATTTTGAAGTAGCTTTTTTTTTTTCAACATTAAAGAGTGGTAGTTGCCTGTGAAGGGTCACTAGAGGGAGATATGGTTCCAGGGATTAATGAATTAATTCAATCAATACAGATAAACATGATATGAGTTCCAGCAACCGATCCCTAGTTCCCTCAACTCCTCATTGAGAAATGTCGATTAAAACGATCATGAACTCTTAATAATGCCACTCACCTCCTTTGTTCCTCCTCCTTCAGCTGCTGAACACTTTGTAGCTGTAGTGGAGGAGCTGTTTGTGGCAGATAGAGTGGAAGTAAAATTCTAACAGCCTTTATTGGTTCAGTATAGAAATGAAGAGTTGCTATGTTGCTCAGTTTCTCTTTCCCAGTTTTCTTACTGCTGCCAGATAGGAACTCAAATATATAGACCATTCTTCTACTTCCAGACAAGAAGCTCCATATTTGAAACCCTCTGATTCATGACAAAAGTGCTTTAGTTCTCTAGAGTTTTCTGGTTTAAAAGTAGCTTTTATGTATGTGTATCAAATAAGTGCAGCAGCATATTTTGTGACTCTTTTTTTAGGTTATTATGCCCCAGGCATTGAAACTGGGATGTACATTTTACGTTCTCAAAGGAATTTTGTAGTTTATTAGCACCTTTTTTTCCCCAAATCTATTTTTACTTCAGAAATCTTTTAATATTAGTGCATTGTTTATAAAATAGTGAAAAATCTTTCCTCTTAATGTATTGCCTGATATATAACCACATTTAGAAATCATCTATAACTTCCCTGATAGGAATTCATTCAGGTTTTTTAACCATTGCTAGGGTCAAGAGGTCACTTTTAAAAAAGAGTAGTTTCTTTATTGATCACTTCTAAATGTTATTTTTTATCCCTTGTGTGGAGTCACACCAGTCTCCCTGTGACTTCCATCTGTTAATCCGGTTATCTTTCTTGCAGACCAATCCTTTTATACAACAGCTGTCAAATATCTGGGAGGAGGCCAGACACAGTGGCCCATACCTGTAATCCTAGCATTTTGGGAGGCGGAAGTGGGAGGGTTGCTTATGCCGAGGAGTTTGAGACCAGCCTGGGCAACATAGGGAGACCCCATCTCTACAGAAAAATTTCAAGAACTAGCTGGGCACAATGGGGTGCATCTGTAGTCCCAGGTGTTTGGAAGGCTGAGGTAGCAGGATCACTTGAGCCTGGGAGATGGAGGTGGCACTGAGCCATGATCACGACACTGTACTCCAGCCTCGGGGACAGTGAAACCATGTCTCAAAAAAAAGGAAAAAAAAATGATGGAGAGGAAAACTGTTATGTTCCCTTTATTCTTCTCATCTGGCTTAATTAAATATCTAGTTTTTTTTCCACTGTTCTTTACATGATGTATTCTTAAGAATCTTCCCTAACCTGCTCATTTCATGTTTATTTGTAATTAATTTTCCTGGTAACTGTGAGCCCAGAGCTGCTCAGTTTGTTTGATTAGTACAAAGCACATCTGAGACTATCAGTCAGAGTCAAGGAATAACTCCAGAAATGACCTTAAACCTCATCTAGTCCAACAGTTTCCTGCCTTTTAGTATTATTAACAGTGAGATTATAACAGTAACATTCCCAAGGACTCAGAACTAATTGGTAGGAGAGATGGGACTAGGTCCCAGGTCTCCAGATTGCTGTTACCTTTTTTCACCAGAAGATCCTTCTTTTTCTTTCTCGAATTCACTATACTGTTGATACAGACTAACATATTTAGGCATATGAAGTGAGGGGTGTAGGGAATGTGGTGCAACAGTCATATCACATTGTTGATTGATTTTATAATTCACACTGAAATTGTGAGTTGCCATCAGTCCAGGTCTCTTCCAACTTGTATTCAGGTAAAATTCGGAAGCCAGGTATAAATAACTTTACATGTATTCCTTTTTGTTTCTGTTTCTCTTATTTCCTGTATTTTCTACATACATGATTGCTATGTAATGGCTTGTGCCTTTGCTTATGTGACTTCCTCTGTCTGTAACTTCCTTGTTTACTTGATTGACTCCTACTCATTCTTTAAGGCTCACCCAAGAAAATCCACATTCAGGAAACTTTTTCTGCCCCCTTACCACTCTCATATCCCCTCCACCAGTCTTGAGTGGATGGATGCTTCTTTTGTGTCTCTCAGTGTCCACTGCATTTTCTATCATGGAACATTGTTCTGGTATTATTTGTTATCGGTGTCATCTACTGGAGTAGATTTGGTGTCTTTATTTTAGATCACTGGTTTATAAAATGACTCAAATTGTCAGGGTATACCTCTTAGCATATATCTCGATTGTAGCAGTCACCTGTTGTAACAGAAATGCTTCATAACAAATTATGCCCCAAATTAGTGCCTTACAATGAAAACATCTGTTCTCATGTTTGTAGGTCTGCAGATCAGCTGCAGTTTGCCTGATGTATATTGTACATAACTGGGCTTAACTCTGGCCTGTAGGTTGGCTTCATATCTGCTCATCATTGGTTTCTTCAGGCCAAAGGAGTGGCAGCTACCTGGAGCATATTCCTCTCCTGCTAGAAACTTTCGTAGCTTTTAGAAAGTATCAGGACTATTTAAGGGTTTTCCATAGTGAAAATTTATGTCTTAACATTCTTTAAGTAGGACACATCCCTTCCCTTTCTCATACCTTTCCTAAATAACTGACAGAGGTTCATGAATACAATAAGGAAGGGAAAGTCTTATAATCTTTTCTTATGACTTCTTTTCTCAAGTACTCTTTGGAACTTTGTTTCTAGGCAGCTGTTGTGCTGTGTATGGATGTGGGCTTTACCATGAGTAACTCTTTTCCTGGTGAAGAATCCCCATTTGAACAAGCAAAGAAGGTGATAACCATGTTTGTTCAGCGACAGGTAAGTTTCAGATTGACACTGAGCTTGTAACCCGTGTTTGAACTGCTTGTTGCCTCTACCTACTAATGCAAGATACCAGCCTCCTTATAGTGTCCAGCCCCTCTGTTTGGAGGAGTCTGGGGAGTTTCCTTGCATGTACTCACATGCAAGTCCCCTACCACTAAAGTCTGATATTTTTTCTTCCCTCGTTTTGGCCCCTCCACTGGATATTACAGTTTTTATCAGAAACGAGGCAGTAAAAAGTAATGCTTAAAAGCACAATCTCTAGACACAGATGGCTTGGATTTAAATTCTTGCTCTGCCATGTCATTTATTAACCTTGTGGTCTTGAACAAGTCCTTCAACTTCTTTGCCTAGTTCAGGTATCTTTTGCTGTGTAATCAACTACCCCAAAATGTAGTGTCTCAGGTAACATTTTAAAAACTCATCATTCATGGTTCTTTCAATGACTGGGTCGCTCAGTTGGGTGATTCTCTATTGAGGCCTCTTAGGCAGTTGCAATCAGATGGCACCTGGGACTGGAGTCATCCAGAGGCTCAGCTGGACCAGATGTCCAAAATGGCTTACTCACATGGCTGGAAGATGATGCTTTCTAGTGGCTGTGAGCTCAGTTGTGGCTATCCATTAGAACCTCTACCTGTGGTTTCTGTATAGCTCGAATTGTCACATGAAGCAGCTGGTTCTAAGGTGTATCCCAAGAGTGAGTTTTCTATAAGACCCTGCCTATGTGGCTTCTTATGACCTATTTTTAAAAATCCCAGAAAGTCGTTTCTGTTTTCTGTTAGTCAAGCAAGACACTAAGGCTAGATAATATTTAAGGGAGGATAATTAGACTCCTCCTCTTCATAAAAGGAGTGGCCTACAAATACAGGGAGAGAAGGAATGGATGGTGGCTACCTTGGAGGTTAACTACTACAGTGCCTCAGTGTCCCAGGTGTAAAATGAGAAAAATAATACCTGTCACATAGGGTTGTTTTAAGGAATAAAATAATGTAGATAAAGTGCTTAGAACAGTGCTTGGAATATTGTAAACACTATGTAAGTGTTAGCTATTTTCATTTCTGCCCCTTCTACTTGGTATGACTGCCACTTTTGCTGAGTCCAGGAAGTCCTGCTTCATTCACTGTCTACTGCTGCTTCTCCTGGACACTTACTGTTTCTTCTGTGTGTTTCCATTTCCGTTGGGCACTACTACTTCCCACGTGTTATTCTAGATTTTTAAAAATCCTGATGACCTGGAGTTCTTGAGGTGTTGGTGTCAAGGAGGGTGCTCTAACCCTGTTCTTGGTTATAGTTGGGTTTGTGGAATTCGAGTAGCGTGGCTGTGCCCCAGTATGCTGTTAGAGAAGATAGACCTGAGCAGGGCAGGAGAGAGGGCCCCCGAGAATGTTGGGCATTTGTGAAGCCATGGTTAGGCAGTTAAAAATCAGCCGTCTGAAGTGACGAGCAGGGCAAGAAAGGGTCCCCAAAGCTCTTAGGTTCTCATTGAGGGGAGGATAGGCGGGCATAAAACTATCAATCTAAGGTAATAAGTGGCCATGATTGACGCCAAGAATTACAGGAATCTTACAACAGACAGAAAACACCTGGAGTTGAGCGAGCTACAATCCCTAAGGTTTCGAGCATGCCCTGTAAAAGATCAAGATGGTGAAATGTAACCGGTATAAAAGCTTCCTCTGGGGGCGCTCGACCAATAAGGGCGAATTTCCTCTACTGAGCATGCGCATGACGAGTAACCCCAGCTCGCTTGCGGCCTCCCTCTGAGCCCTAGCAGGGCCAGTGCGCATGCGTTAATTAATTAGGCCTGCTCGAGGGAGGAACAAAGGAGACTAGGAGCCCGGGAAAAGACGCGGGAGGAGTCTAAAAACTAAACAAAGAAAGGCGCAAGGCCCTTGATTTTTCGCGTTGCCGTTTGTGTTCTCTTTCGTGTACTCTTCTTTCTCTAGTAAACTCACCTTGCTTAAATAAATTTTTCTCCTGCTTTAAACCTTGCCTGTGTCTGTCGTTTGAATTCCTTACTTGGAGAAGACCAAGAACCAAAATTGTTGCAGAGTCGCCATTCCGGAGTTTCTCGGGAGAACTGCCGACTCATCCCAGTAACGAGAGTATAGGTGTTTTTTTGTTTGTTTTTGTTTCAAAGAGAAAGAGTCAGACTCAGGAAGGCTGGAGGATAAAACCTAGTGCCAGACTGACTGCATTCAGAATTTCCTCCCCTCCCATGACAGATTTTGTCTGGGGTGAGATTACCTTGCTTTAAGATGGATGCTTGACGAGGCGGCAGATACCGCCCAGCCAGTATGCTAGAAATGTTTGAATCTAGTAGCAGGCACCATTACTCCCGGTACAACTGGGAATTGTAGTTGAGTTGTTTACAGACTAAAGGATTAAACAGACTCAACAAAAATTAAGAATGACAGAATGCTGTTCTCTCTCTGTACAGCACTCCTCCCTATCAGTGTAAAAAGGCTTAATAATTAGAATGGGACAGGACTGCCCTTTGTGTCAGATACCATTTTTTGTTTTTATATTATTATAAAGGATTTCATAAAAGGTAAATACAGAGAGTATACAGGAAACCAATTTTCCCATTGAGTTATGCTATAAATCCTAATGTGTTAGCATATTTGTTTGATTTCTTCTTTAAATCAAGTATTACAGATAAACTTGAAGGCCCTTCCTAACCCTTTTTGTTCTCTTCTTTTCTCAGAATTTTGGTAGCTATTACTGTGTATATTTTATACTATTGGACATAAGTATATATTCATAAATAGTATTGTATAAAGCTGTCAAAAGTGTATGTAAATTGTTTTTGTTTTTGTTTTTAATATGGAACGCTTCACGAATTTGCGTGTCATCGTTGCGCAGGGGCCATGCTAATCTTCTCTGTATCGTTCCAATTTTAGTATATGTGCTGCCCAAGCGAGCACTGTAAATTGTTTTATATGGTATATGTAATTCTGCAACATATCTTTTCTCAGCCTATGTTTTTTGAGATCTATTCATGTCGATAATGTGTTGCACAAATTTATTCAGTTTTACTGGAGTATGATAATGCATTGTATAAATATTCTGCAGTGTGTTTTTGCATTCTCCTGTTTATTGATAGTTCGCTTCCAGTTTTTGCCCTATTATAAACAGTGCTGAAATGTAAACTTCCTGTCTATTGTCACCTTGCATACTTGCACAAGGGTATACTATATATGCCTGCTGATGAAATTGCTGAGATATAGGCTATCTCACAATTTTTTTTAACCTCTGGGATATTTAAATCAGGGATAGACATTCTGTACAAACATAAGAAAATCTTTTCAAATTATCCGTGATTGGTTGTCTGAGAATTAGAGTTTGATTTAGTTGGAAGTCATCAAGAGTACTTACCACCCTCCTATTTCCACACACCAACTTTTGCTGAAATGAAGAGTGAGACTTCTAGTCAATTAAAAAAATCTGTTCAGAACCTAAGAATTGTCATTGTCCGTAAGTTTCCCGTTTCATCTCACCCAATGCTATATGGATTCAGGGACCTGCCATGGTTATGCCAGAGGTATAGTGGTCCTGTTCCCTGAAGGTTAGGTATTTTATTGCTTTCAGGTTGTTCTAATACGGTATTTTTCTCTAGGTGTTTGCTGAGAACAAGGATGAGATTGCTTTAGTCCTGTTTGGTACGGATGGCACTGACAATCCCCTTTCTGGTGGGGATCAGTATCAGAACATCACAGTGCACAGACATCTGATGTTACCGGATTTTGATTTGCTGGAGGACATTGAAAGCAAAATCCAACCAGGTTCTCAACAGGCTGACTGTATCCTTTTTCTGCCAGGGAAGACTTTAAGAAATTTCCTTTATTCTGGGAATTGTAATGCAGTTTGATGAGACACCCCAGAATTTCAGCTATGAGTATATGGGGATATTTTGGTCTGAGGAGGGGAAGGTAATGTGATACAGGATTTAATGTGAAGTTAATCAGTTTAGGTGCCTTCCAGCCCTCCACTCACTTGCCTGTTCTCTGCATAGGTGATATTGAGAGGTTGGGAGGCATAGGAAGGGGAAAATCTAGGGAGTATATGTGACTATTGAGTATATGCAGAGGGTTTTGGTGGTGCTTGCTAGAAATGTTTGGAGGGGGATAAAAGATATTTTAAAAAGAGCATCCTCTTGGAGCTGGGCGCGGTGGGTCACGCCTATAATCCCAGCACTTTGGGAGGCCGAGGCGGTGGATCACGAGGTCAAGAGATCGAGACCATCCTGGTCAACAAGGTGAAACCCTGCCTCTACTAGAATACAAAAATTAGCTGGGCATGGTGTTGCACGCCTGTGGTCCCAGCTAATCGGGAGGCTGAGGCAGGAGAATTGCTTGAACCCAGGAGGCGGAGGTTGCGGCGAGCTGAGATTGTGCCATTGCACTCCAGTCTGGGTAACAACAGCGCAACTCCGTCTCAAAAAAAAAAAAAAAGCATCCTCTTAATGTTCTCCACTTTCTTCTGGATTGAAGATATTTTTGTGCCAGAAATCTGATTGATTCCCAAAGTGTGAGATTTCCAGTGTATTCCACAGCTCCCTAATTTTAAGGGATTACTCTTGATCTTTTTCTAATCAATTAGTAGTGCTATCGTGATCACTGGGAAGCACTGTTCTGTTAGGAGCAACTTGCAAATGCTACATTATGGCTTCATATTTATGAATGGACTTTGACCACCAAAAATGGGTTCTAGATACTATTAAATGGCATAATTTTTGGTGAAATGAATGCAGTGTGTTAAGTTACCTTTTGTTTATATTTCTTGGTGGTTTTTGTCAGAATATATACTTTGATATATGTATGAATATATGTTAGTGAACTTTGGAAGAAGGACACTCAGGCAAGTACTTCAAGTCATCACAAAGTTCAGTGTCCACAATTTCTAGCACAGTGGACCTCACTGAAAAGAGTTGCGTGAACGCGAGACTGGTGATATCCCTGTCCTTAACTAGCTGAGTCCTGGATGCACTAATTGTGAGCATGGATGTGATTCAACATGAAACCATGTAAGTGTTCCAAGGAAAAGAACGGGAAGTGAACTGCAAAAATTCTATGGGTTATTGTATTGAATGTATTTTGATTCATTGTTAATCAAGCAGCATGTTTGTATGGTAACAGAAATGTTTTGTAGAGTTGAATGGTTCAGTCCAACCTCTGTTTTTTAAAAGTTTTAAGAGGAAGGGCTATACTGAGTATTTCTCTGGGACAACATTTGGCTTATTTCAGTTTACTTCCTATTAGACATAAGCTGAATTACCAGGAAGTTTTAAAAATCCTAAGTGGTATAATCCATATGTCATTGATATTAAGTGCATACTAATTCTGATCAACTTCCCTTTTTTTGTTGTGTATGTGTATTTTTTTTTTTTTGAGGTAGGGTCTCATTCTGTCACCCAGGCTAGAGTGCAATGGTGCCAGCATAGCTCACAGCAACCTCACCTTGACTGATCCTTGCACCTGATCTTCCCGAGTAGCTGAGACTATAGGTGCACGCCACCAATTCCACCTAATTTAAAAATTTTTATTTTTGTAGAGATTGTCTTACTGTTTTGCCCAGGCTGGCCTCAAACTCCTGGCTTCAAGCAGCCCTCCCATCTTGGCCTCCCAAAGTGTTAGGATTACACGCATGAACCATCATGCCTGGCCTGCTTCCTAATTCATTATTTAATAATTGTGCCTTGGAAATGTATCCCTGGAGATGCCCGTGTGCATGTACACATACCTCTTGCCTGTCAGGAAAACCATTTGCACTAAAATCCCAGGCCTAAATCTGTATAATCATTTCTCAATCTCTAAGCATCCTCTGCAGCATCTTGCCACACAAGGTCTGTGCATAGAATCAGAGCAGGATGCTTAGAAAGTGAACCTGAGCAAGGCTGAAGTTACAGTATGCTGGGAGAATTCTTCGTTTACATTCTGCCTATGTGGAGGCTGGAAAGGGATCTTTTTTTAATCACATTCGATTTAGGAATCCATATTTCTATAATGCTCAGAAATTTTGCCCAAGATGTTCAAAGTATAAAGTATATCAGGGTTGCTTATGAGTTTAATAAGAACATAACTAGACTACTAGAATGTAATCTCATTTATTAACTGTGTCTAGATCCATTGCTAAGCCTCTCTCCTCAGTGACCACGTATATTTGAATTTGTAGAAAATAATTCAGGAGAATGATTTCTTAATATGAAAACTCTCTTTTAGAGGAAAGAAGTTTGAGAAGAGGCATATTGAAATATTCACTGACCTCAGCAGCCGATTCAGCAAAAGTCAGCTGGATATTATAATTCATAGCTTGAAGAAATGTGACATCTCCCTGCAATTCTTGTAAGATCCTAAAAATAATGCATGTATACAAATTCTCCGATTTCCTAATACAGTGAATGGGACTTCCTTATAGAGTACTTGGTTTATGGGAATTTTCACTTTCTGTTCCAAGGCCGTATCTATCATATGACTGACTACTCAGAAAACATATGCTGATTATTCTCTGTGTTCTAGGAACTGTTCTGAGTGTTGGTGACAGAGATGAAAGTCAGTGATACAGAAGAATTGAGCTTAGTAGCAGATTATTTTTCCATGTTCTTAGACTCAAAAAATTGCAGAATTAGAAGAACCCGTTGAGGATATTCAGTTTATCTCCTTCCTATGTAGAAAACTTTACCCAAACGGTTACCAGATTGATGGGTTTTTTTCCCCTTAAACAGCGCTAGAAAACTGTGTCCTGTAGAGAGTGGATGGATGTTTTAGGGTAGACAGGAATGCCAACTTGGGAATCATTCTAAATACACAACATGTTTGTATTTAACTCTTTACAGATCCAAAAGATGTAGATACACAGATAAAATTTAATTTGTTTATGTGTATTCAGAGATGGGGTCCATAACTTTAGGGGAAAAACATTGCACATTCTGTTAGGGAGAGAGTTCCTCCTCACACAATAACTTGAATTCTCCCTCCAGGATTTCCTTTACACTGCTAATAAAAATTTCTTTCACAACGCTAACACTTCCTGTGCATTTGAAACCTAATTTTTCTTGTCCTATTTTTGGTGAAAGTTGAGTGATGGTATAGGATGTTGAATTATTAATCTTCTGTCGTTTTTCAAATTGAGAGCTTTGCCAAGAAGTCTAGTTCAGAGTGGTAAGCCTTTAGCTTCTTAAAGTGCCTGCCAGGGGACATTAAGAACTTGTTTTGCATGTATGAGTAGTCTTCTCTAAGACTGCTGAGCAGCATCTCCTTTTTGTAGGACAGTGGAAAAAGAGTTCAGAATAACCCATCAAACCAATACTTATTAAGACAGTACTTCAGAGAAATTAAGTGCTTTTTAAGTGACACTTCTTATTCAGTTGAGGTTTTTCTCAGTACTTCAGAAGCCCAGCTCAGCTTCTCGTCCCTGTTCATAATCTCAGTATGCCTTTACATGATAGAAGCGTACTGTACTTCTGTGAATGTTACTTGAGAGGGCTACTGATTTTTTCAATGAGCAATACAGAAAAGTGCAGAAGAGGAAGCATGCCCTTTTATTTGCTTTTTATTTGGTTGTATTTTTTTTCTTGGATAATAAGCTTTCTTCCTGTGCTACAAACCTCCAGCATACAAAGTAGTGTTCATAGTTTTTATTGTTCGGTGTATTCCATGTACAATTGATTTTTCTAATTGGACTAAAAAAATACCAGCAGCTCAAAGAAGCACTGTGTTCGGAACAGGCTTGTTCCTTGGACATAGTTATAAATGTATTTTATATATATATTTTTTACTATTTTCATTTTTTAAGAGATAAGGTCTTGTTCTGTTACCCAGGCTGGAGTGCAGTGGCACAGTTATAGCTCACTGCAGCCTAAAACTCTTGGGAACAAGTGAACCTCCCACCTGAGCCTTTTTTATAGCTGAGATTACAGATGTACGTTACCATACCCAGCAGTTCTTAGGTTTTTGGTTTTTGTTTTGACTTGGAGTCTTGCTCTGTTGCCCAGGCTAGAGTGCAATGGCACAGTCTGATCTCGGCTCACTGCAACCTCTGCCTCCTGGGCTCAAGTGGTTCTCCTATCAGCCTCCCGAGGAGCTGGGATTACAGGTGTGTAAAACCACACCCAGCTAACATGTGTGTTTTTAGAGAGGCAGGGTTTCACCATGTTGGCCAGGCTGGTCTTGAACTCCTGACCTCGAGTGTTTTCCCCACTTTGCCTCCCAAAGTGCTGGGATTACAGCCGTGAGCCACTTTACCTGGCATCATTTTAAGTTTCTTCTGCTGACTACTGAGGAAGCTTGTTTCTGATCTAATGCAGAATAGACAGAACTGTTATTGTAACTTCTTTTTCCCTGATAACTTCCTTTCTCTTCACTTCTATGTCATTTGTCCTTTTCTAGTTCATGATAGGGAAACAGCAGTAACGTGATGCAAACCCTGTGTGTCACACTTTGCTCCCTGGAAACTTTTTATCTAATAAATAATGCAGGACATGCAAATTACATCATGTTGCATTTGCTAAGTATATGAAGAAAAAATGTAAATAGAAAGCCCTATTAAGAGTAGCAAATAAAATGAGAAATTGCCTTAAAAACAAATTTATTTCTCACAGTTCTGGAGGCTGGGAAGTCCAAGATCACAGCACTAGCAGATGTGGTATCTGCCGAGAGATCTCTGCTTCCAAGATGGTGCCTTATTACTGTGTCTTCCCATGTCAAAAGAGCTAGCACTGTGTGCTCACATAATGGAAGGACATAAAAGGCAAAGATGACAAAAAGCCTCTTCCCTTCAACCACTTTTTTAAGGTCACTCATTCCGTTTATGAGTTCCCTATCCTTAGGACTTCATTACCTCCCAAAGACCCTCTGTCTTAATACTATTATATTGGTGATTAGGTTTCAATGTAATGATTTTGGGGACACATTTAGGCCATAACAATGTGGAAGAGGCCAGTCTGAGAGAGTAAAGCCAGGGTAAACACAAATAAAGGTGAAATAGAGAGTAATCCTTGGAATAGTTGAGACCCTGGGATTTCCTAAGGCCTTGTGCCACCCTGCCCTTTCAATTGTTTGGTTATGTAGGCCAGTGATTTTTTCCCCTTTTATAAATCAAAGATTTCAGTCACTTGAAACTGGGAGAAATAAGCTAAGATAGGTAAGAGTCATTTGACAGATGAGAAATTTGAAGTTTGATAAGGTTGACTGATATGCTAATTTTTTCATACCTGCTGAGTAACAGTTACAGGATTGGAATCTTAACTACTGTTGATCTTTCTTTAATAGCCTGCCTTTCTCACTTGACAAGGAAGGTGGAAGTGGAGACAGAGGAGATGGCCCCTTTCTCTTGGGTGGCCATGGGCCCTCCTTTCCACTAAAAGGAATTACCGAACAGCAAAAAGAAGGTCTTGAGATAGTGAAAATGGTGATGATATCTTTAGAAGGTGAAGATGGGTTGGATGAAATTTATTCCTTCAGGTAAGAATTGAAAAAATTGCTGGGAATTTTAATTGTATCCACATAAATTTCTTTTTTGATTAGAGGTCATACAAATGTTTTCTTCTTCTAGGCAACTCTTGAATTAGTCATTCCTTAATATTCTGAGTTTTATTAAAGAAATGGTACCCCACTTTTAATTACCCTTTTTAAAGTTTGTGTTCTTGGCATACATTTCTCATTTATTTCTAGGACCTGTATCAGTGAAGTTTAGGAATGTATAGATACTATGAGAAATTAACATGTCAAATTGCAAAAGGTGAAATAGTAGATTTCATCATTATGCCAAGCTTGGGATACATTTCTTGGGCCCTTTTTTTTCATACATGTACAAAAAAAATTCTTAATTATAGAAAGTGGTCTCAGATTTGAGATGGTCAGTATCTTCCTATCATCGATTAGGGTTTTAGAAAGTAACACATTATGGTATAGTGATTTTTTTTTAACTTTTGATCACAAAGTAGTTTAATCAGGTGAGAAAAAAAGAAAAAAACCTACAATGCAAAGAATTCAGAACCTACTTATTTTCCATGGGCTTTGGAAAGGCAAAAGTGAACTCCCCAAAGTACCATATAATGATAAAGCAAACTATTTTCAACCATCCAGCTAGAGACTGGAAGAGACCATCTCCTTTATCCATCTTATTCTTGGTTGGAATTGGACATACAAGCATTTTGAGCAGAGAAACTAAGAAGAATCAGTGTCATCTAGAATAGTATGTGTCTCTGGGGTTCAATTTAGTAAAAGTGGCAATAGAGTACTTTAGATAGCAGTATGACTTGGGTTGTTCAAATTCTCGGTGATAATACTGCTTGATATTCATGAATTATTTACAGATTATCAATCGGTACACAAAATACAGGCTGCTTAAGCAAATTGAAATAATGATTCAACAACAAATTTTTTAAAAAGTAGCTACACTGTATATCTTAAAATATTTTTTCTCAACGACCATTTTAAATATTTCTGATGAGCTGTAATTGACAAAAACTATATTCTGATTTTCCGAGTATAGCCTTCAAAAGTTAGAGGTAAATGGAGATTCAGGAAGCAGAATTGAAATTGCCCACAGTATTGCCGTAGGAATCAGTGAGGAATCCAGTAAGGCAAAGTTTCGTGCCCTAATGTGTACTTGTCGCAGTATGTACAGATATGTGTTCCCAAGTTTGTCTTTCAAATTTGGGAATAAATGCCTTAAGCTAACATATTAATCATGATATCATAAGGAAAATTTAGGCTGGGCACCGTGGCTCACCCCTGTAATCCCAGCACTTTGGGAGGCTGAGGCAGGTGGATCACCTGAGGTCAGGAGTTTGAGACCAGCCTCACCAACATGGTGAAACTCTGTCTCTACTAACAATAGCAGTAATTAGCTGGGCATGGTGGTTCATGTCTGTAGTCCCAGCTACTTGAGAGACCGAGGCAGGAGAATCACTTGAACCTGGGAGGCGAAGGTTGCAGTGAACCAATATCATGCCACTGCACTCCAGCCTGGTCGACAGAGCAAGACTTCATCTCAAAAGAAAAAGAAAAATTAGAGGACAATATAGATAACTCTTTAAAAAGTGTGTGTGTGTGTGTGTTTAATTTTTCCATAGCATAGCAGGCAGGGAAATTATTGACTATGCATTGTTTAAGCAATTTGAAGCTACTTTGATTTTAGGTCTGCCATGAAGATGTAGACCAGAACTTTGCCATCCAATACAATAGCTGTTAGCTAAATGTGGCTATTTAAATTCAAATTAGTCAAAATTAAATGCATTTTAAAATTGAGTCCCTCAGTCACACTAGCTGTTTTTCAAGTGTCTATTGGGCTGGCATGGTGAGAAATAGAACATTCCTATTATTGCAGAAAGTTGTACTGGACAGCACTGTGTGGATCTTAGGAAGATAGCTTGACATCTACTTGGGGAGATTGAGCTGTACTGCAGAACTGAGTCAGTTCTCAGATTTTTTTTTTTTTGATCAGAGTCTCAAAGAGACATGCAGTGTCTCAAACAGATCTCAAAGAGATCCTGCAATGGTGTGATCTTGGCTCACCGCAACCTCTGCCTACCAGGTTCAAGCAATTCTCGTGCCTTAGCCTTCTGAGTAGCTGGGATTACAGGTGTGCGCCACCATGCCCCTGCTACTCAGATCTTATGTATTAGATATGCATCTTTAGAATTTCCCCTGAAATAGAATCTAAACCTCATGGTGATTTTAGACCATGAGGTTTAGATTCTCTTTGACTAGTAATGTTGAGTCGGACAGGTTAGATCTTGTCCAGATCCATTCCTCCCTCAATAAATCCAGAGACATGGTGTACCATAGGCTTTGGAAGCTGGGTGTCAGGTAAAACATCTACTTATTCATTGTAAATTATTTCTGAAAATTGGAGTCTCTCGAGACCTCCCTGTCCATAACTCTGTGGATAATGTGAGATAATTCTCTTACCACTTCGTAGATCTGTTTTTTATCTGTACCAAGGAGTTCAACCAGAAAGTCTGGACTGTATGCTTTGAGTGTATTTTGTCATTAATTCCTTTGCTGCTTATTTTAGTGAATTCCACAAATTCCACCTATCCTATCACCTTCCCTGTTGTGTTTCATTAGGGGCCAGATGAAAATATGATTGATCTTCACTTTTGTTTAAATGAAGCAGCACTCCACAACACTGTGTTTACACCTCTCCCCAGCTTTTCCCACCAGTAAGAAACGTAGAGTTACCTGCTTTACCTTAAGACTAAATATGAACTAAATTCCTTTATTCCTTGGATAGTCTTTGTTTAACTTCTCCCTCTGATATATATATAAAAACATACCTTTAATATTCAGAATTGGAATTAATGAATTATAGAGTTGTGAGCAGTGATATTATAGGATGGCACACTCCCTTTGATATTCTAGAGCAGAGGTTCTTATCCTCAGGCCCATGGTTTTCAGGGAGTTGGTAGTGAACCCCCGCCTTTTTTTTGAGATGGAGTCTCGCTCTGTATCCCATGCTGGAGTGCAGTGGCGCCATCTCAGCTCACTGCAACCTCTGCCTTCCTGGTCTCAGCTCAAGCAGTTCTCCTACCTCAGCTTCCCAAGTACCTGGGATTACAGGCACAAGCCACCGTGGCCTATTTTTTGTTATTTTTAGTAGAGATGGGGTTTCACCATGTTGGCCAGTCTGGTCTTGAACTCCTGACCTCGTGATCCGCCTGCCCCAGTCTCCCAGAACCCTTTATATTATGTGCAGACTCATTTGTAAATGTGCTTTTATTACATCCTCAGAGATGTCCTTGGTCCTGAAAAAAATGTTAAGAACCTCTGACAGAGTTGAAAGAAAATACTGAATAAGAGGAAGATAGAGCTGTTGTTTTTCTCCTGTCAGTAAAGTAATTCAGCTCCTGTTTCCTTCTGAGCCAACTCACTCATACTCTAGCTGTCTCCCAACTTGTGGTGGTTGTTTTCCTGCCATCCCCTGCTGTTTCTCTCTATAATTAACAACAGCTCACTTTTCATTCTAGAAAACCAAGGCATCATTCAGCACAAATTAACATTTAAAAAATTATTGCTTTCATTTTATACTTTTTTTTATTAAGTGAGAGTCTGAGAAAACTGTGTGTCTTCAAGAAAATTGAGAGGCATTCCATCCACTGGCCCTGCCGACTGACCATTGGCTCCAATTTGTCTATAAGGATTGCAGCCTATAAATCGGTAAGTGGCAGGCACACATTTTTAACAGATATGTTACCAGGCAGATAAATATGTGTATATAAGGAAAAGACAGTCCATGTGCGTGTTACTCAGAATCATAATTACTGCTTTTCTAGCTGTTCTCCCTGCTCATTTAATCTCTGTTTAGCGTTTTATGTAAAAGGCAGGCTAGGAGAGGAAGTTTAAAGGATTGTCTGTAATAGAGTTTGATTCCCTCCTCTTTTACTTTCTCTCCATTGATAATTGATTGTTAATCATAAGTTCTAGACCTGTCTCTTTTTTTAAAAAGAAAGAAAATGAAATGGCTATGTCACTGTAATATCATAGCAGAAATACAGACAATGCACCAAAGTTAAGTTCAGTTTTGGAGACTAAGTTACATCTAAGTCAATTGTGAATGATCTGATACTAACAACGTCTGAAATGTAAAAAAGAACTGAGTTGTTACTGTAAAATTGCATTTCATAATATATGTACATTATATACAATAGCACACTTTAAAAAAATGAGTTTTTTTTGGTGATTATTTGATAAAATCTAATTTGAGTAGGAATCTGATTCGTGCCTCTACATGATCCTTCTTGCCTTTTTCCTTTAAGTGTTCAAGATAAATATATAGGAATATTTTAGGCAAATAAAATAAATATGCAAAAACGTGTTTTTATATATTCAGTTGCTTTTTTGTGTATTAAAGAACTTAATTCCAAAATATATGATATGTCCCTGACAACCTTGGGATAGTTCTTTATTTATTTTGGGTTCCATCAAAGCCTAGAATAGTGTCCCTAGGAATGTGAATACCCTCTCCCCCGTTTCCTGTTTGGCTTCCTTTTCAAATATTTTTGTTGATTTCTGACACAGGTATATTCCTTCCTTTTTTTTTTTCTGTTGGAAACTATGATAAAATGTGTAGTCCTCTTTTTATTAGATAGTCTGGCTGGACACAGTGGCTCATGCTTATAATCCCAGTACTTTGGGAGGCTGAGGTGGGCAGATCACTTGAGGCCAGGAGTTTGAGACCAGCCTGGTCAACATGGTGAAACCCCGTCTCTACTAAAAATACAAAAATTAGTTAGGCCTGGTGGTACATACCTGTAGTCCCAGCTACTTGGGTAACTGAGGCACGAAAATTGCTCAAACCCAGGAGGAGAAGGTTGCAGTGAGCCAAGATCATGCCACTGTACTCCAACCTGGGCGATAGAGTGAGACTCTGTCTCAAAACATAAAAATAAATAAGTAAATAAAAATATCAGACATTCTGAGGTTTTGTATAGGAAAGTGTGAATGTAAAGAATTGTGGATTACCTTTGAGTAATGAAAATGAAGGATTACCTTTGAGGTAAATTGTGGATTACCTTTGAGGAGAAAATGAAATGCAGAGTTATCCAGTATATTTTGTTATGAAATAAACCATAGTTTTCCTAATAGACATGAGCAAACAAAATAATGTAGCTAGAGTAATTGTTCTGGATTTTTGTCTGTGCCAGAGAGTATATTAGGTTTTCATCTTCTGTCAATTGAAATCCTAACTTTCCTTGTTTTCCCTTTGTGTTCTGGAATGTAAGATTCTACAGGAAAGAGTTAAAAAGACTTGGACAGTTGTGGATGCAAAAACTCTAAAAAAAGAAGATATACAAAAAGAAACAGTTTATTGCTTAAATGACGATGATGAAACTGAAATTTTAAAAGAGGATATTATTCAAGGTATTTCAGTAAGAGTTTTCACTGTTACCTAAAAGACATTTTCTTCAATGTGATACAATGCAGGCTGGGGTTTGTATTATTATTTGTTTAGAGTTATTTCTTTGAGTTATAGAGATATAACTATTTGAGAGGATAATGAGACCTAGGTCATTGAGCTCGTTTGTTGAGTCTTAGGTAGGTTGGTTCTCAGGAATACACCTCAGTGTTCCATCTCTGAGTTTTAAATGTCTCAAGTACGGTGCTCAATACTTGGCTTTAATTTTAAAGTTTGAAACTCACTAGCTAGGAGGATGTTTAAATTAATATGGCTGAACTAAGGGTTTTCTCTTGTTTATTTTTCATTTTTAACTTACATGTTGATTATTATTCTAAGTGCCAATTTCAGGTTTTATATCCTACCAGATACGCTTCCTTAATTTAAAGGCTGAAAATTATTTTTATTTATTATATTGCTTCATATTAAATAGGAGTTTTAAAGTTGTACTCCTATATTATATCCATTTGGATTGAATAGTGTGTCTAGATGGCATATTTATGCAGAGAACTTAGAAACTAGCTGAGGCTATCTGTATGTTCAAGACCTAAAATTATTAAGATACCAAATGATGGTTAAGATAGAAACCAGAGTCCTTAGATAAATGTTTTGCCAGGCTATTCATTGCCCAGTATGATGTTGATTTGCAAGTCTTGAAAAGGATTATTTTCCTCTGTGGCACTGTATCTCATCTTATGTGTATTTGTGTGTGTTGGAGAAGGAGGTTGTTTAAAGGAGGTGGTGGTTATGATTCTTTCCTTTCTCCTGATGGAATATCTGTAGAATGTAATTAATACGCTACAATTTCTACTAATTCTTTAATTCAATTCTGTAGTATAGAACATGAATTTTGGAATCAACCCTGGATTAGAATCATGGTTTCATCATTGGTTAATCATTTGATCCTAGAATACTGACTGGCTCATAGTAGGAAGAATATAATTAAAGGCACAAGACCAGGAAAGTAGGGGGACTTCTCAGAGATATAAGTAGTCCAGTTGGGTTGGTGTATTGAGCATGTACAGTTTAGTACTTGGGGGTCACATCTAATGGACAGCCTGCATTTTCTCTTTTAATCATCGGCAGCCACCTTATAAAGCATGTTATTTCCATTTTATAGATAAGGGAACTGAGGCTGAAAGACACTTATTCACCTATTCAGTGCCACACAGCTCACAACTAGCAGGACTTCAATTTAAGGCCTGTACTGCTTCGGAGTCTGTGTGCCTGCATACTATTCTGCATTTGGACTCAGTAATGAAGGGCTTTGGATAGTAGGCTAAGAGTTTATGCATAACCTTGAAAACAATGGAACCACTTACAGTTTTGAAAAGTAGAATGTCACTGGGGCTGTGTTTTAGGAAGATTAATGTGACAACTGGTCGTAGGATGAAATGGAAGGAGAAGGATCTAGAGATGATGATGGATGCCAGTTCTTTTGGTTGTTAGCAAAGAAAGCAACCCTGGTTATCTTAGGCAAAAAGGGAATTTATTGCTGGGGCAATGGAGAGGGAAGAGTTAAAAACTGCTTGGGTTTATAAAGAGCATAGAAGTACATCTTTTCTCCTGTACCTTTTTGCGGTTCCTCTGCCTGTCCACTTTCCAACCCCTGATCAGCTAGAGGTTTTTTTTTTTCTTGAACTAAGGGACCAGTATTTACATGTGGGCAAAGGAGTCTTGTTAAATGTTGTAGTCTGTTGTATACTTTTTGCCATGTACAAAAGTTGGAGTTAGGTGCCCTTTAAGTAGATGAACCAGAACATAAAACAGTTTTAATTAGAACCTTCAAGTTACAGTTACACTATTCACATGGTTCAAGTAAGATGACGATGACAGAGATAAGTTAAGGCAGACATTTAGTTTTGGTAGCAGTCTTCATCATGTGCCATACATTTCCCTGTTTTTGTTGGAATTTTTGGTTTTGTCACTAGCTTTTTAAAAAAGATATACATGGAAATAAAAATATGTTTCTTTTTAATAAAATACATATCATCAACAAATTAACAGGAACAAATAAACACTAGATCACAGAATCTGTCCCTGGATATACAAGTTTTATTGTGTCTTGGGGTAAAGATGCATGTGCTTTCCCTTTACATTTATCCAAGGCCAGAATCCTTAGATTTTGATGCTACTTCTTCCCCTTAAACATGTAAGATACTGTGTGTTGAAAAGGCTTGATCTTCCATAAAATACAGGCCACGGAACAGGGTTGGACTTTTTTTTTTTTTTTTTTAAGAGGCCAAGAGCCTGTATTTATATAAATATCCTGTGTAATTAAAAAGAAAAAAAATACAATCAAATCCCAGAAATAAAATAAATATAGAAAAATATGCAACTTATCAATTGAATGTTTCCAAATGGAAGAGTTTTAGATTCTTCTGTCAGGCATTGCATATCGCCAGAATGCATTTTTGAGAACATTTTGTTCTGAAAATTTCCTGTGGGCATTTTTCTCTGTGGGTCTCTAGGTTTCCGAATAATGTGTTCTTATGTTTACAAATCGTGCTGTACTTTAGTCAACCATGGTTTATCTTTGGAGGATAACTAGTACATTATATTTGCCACATTTTTTCTTTTAGGCTGGGTAATCATTAAGGTAACTAGATTGCAAAAGATGCTACTTTAAAAAATGTAATTAGATTTTAATCGTCTCTATATTGTATATGTGGTTTGTGTATCTACTGCTGCTTTTTCACCATGTATCACAAGGGGCAGTAATCTGATTCCAGGGAATAGAAGATGGAGGCTTGCTCTGGCTTGTGTGTGTATTGTTAATGTATGCACAGAGCTAATTTCAGCTTGAAGAAAATGAGGCCCCATATGCTTAACAGATGCTCTTCTCTTTTTTTCCAGGGTTCCGCTATGGAAGTGATATAGTTCCTTTCTCTAAAGTGGATGAGGAACAAATGAAATATAAATCGGAGGGGAAGTGCTTCTCTGTTTTGGGATTTTGTAAATCTTCTCAGGTACAATTGTGAACAAAATAATGAGCTCTTTCCTGTTACTTGAAATGGTGTGCTTTTGATTGGTCATTTTACTTATTTATTATTTTTTGAGTTATAGTTTTTTTCTTGTTGCCCAGGCTGGAGTGCAATGGCATGATCTCAGCTCACTGCAACCTCCACCTCCCGGGTTCAAGCTATTCTCCTATCTCAGCCTCCTGAGTAGCTGGGATGACAGGCGCCCACCACTGAGCCCAGCCAATTTTTGTATTTTTAGTAGAGATGGAATTTCACCATGTTACTCAGATTGGTCTCAAACTCCTGACCTAAGGTGATCTGCTTGCTTTGGCCTCCCAAACTGCTGGGATTACAGGCATGAACCACTGCGCCTGGCTGGTCATTTCATTTATAATGTATATTTTTTTCACTTTTAATTTTTCTAAAATGTAGTCTGGGGGTTAGTGTTGCCATGGTATGTATTTTATACATTAGGAAATTGAGGTTCAGAGCTGTTAAGTAAGTCTATATGAGTCTAGCAAATTAAAAATATAGGATGGTTTTTCAATGGGGAGTGGAAGTGGAGATGAGGGGTATGTAAATTATATAGGCCTAACCCTCATACCTTTGAGACTCAGTCTTCTTGAATTGCCGTTATGGTGAAAGTGCTTATAATGTGTCAACTCTAGAGATGGGAGGACAAAAAAATGTATGAGAAACACTGCCCAATACAACACATGGCGTGTTCTTAAAAATAAACCCCAGGCTCCAGATTTCATGGATCAGACAGAAGTTGATCTTGGTAGATAAGTGCTGGTGGTTATGATTTTCAGAACTCTTCAATACTCATTTTCTAATCTGATATTAGTAGAGCTGTCTTGACCCCTCTTGATACTGTGCTAGATAAGTTAATTGAATTTAAGAGGGTGTGGGGAGAGACATGTAGTCCTTATTTTTTATTTAATTTCTCTTTCTTTCAACCCTTCCCCTCTAATTCTTCACTTTACTATTTATATTACACTTTACTAATACTTCACTGATAAGTGCCTCATCGCTACTCTTAGGAGGAAATGCAAACCGCTTAAGTTTTGTTCTTAGGAGACTTCATGATCCGATTGATCTTTGCTAATCTCTCTAATTTTTCACCTCTCCCCTCACACAGTGGCACTGTACTACTCCAAGAGCAGTTTCCCAAATGTACTATGGTTTTATAGCACTCCAGACTACTATTTGTACTGTTTTCCCTGCCCGGAATACTTGTGCCCAGACTTTTCTCTTAGTTCCTATTTGTCCTTTTAAGTCTTGACTTAGGCGTCACCATTTGCAGAAACCTTCCCTGACCCCTCATGACCAGGCTTGGTGCTCTCCTTACATGCCATTAGATCACCATGTAACCCTGGACTGTAGTACTGCACTGCAGTTAATTTCGTATTTATCTATCGAACCTCCTCAAGGGCAGGATTATATTCTGTTCACTGTTGTGTTTATAATACTCAGGCACTGTTGGACACGTGCTCGGTGCTCAGATATTTATTGTGTTGAATTGAATTGAACTTCAGGTAATAAGATGTTTTAGTATCTGTGAATGTTTTTCAGTAAGAGGATTTTGAATGGAATTTCTTAGCAATATGTAGCATTACAGTTATACATGTTACTTATTTTGGATCAAAACCAATTCTTTTCCTCTCTTACTCTTGTAGGTTCAGAGAAGATTCTTCATGGGAAATCAAGTTCTAAAGGTCTTTGCAGCAAGAGATGATGAGGTGAGTTGGCAGCAGGTCTTTGAGGTAGTGCTACAGAATTGGATTGTAATTTTATGAAAGCGTGTTGTTTGGGGCTTTTATAGTTTAAAGTGGCATGAATTCTTGCAGTAGGAGTGGGAAAATCCACTGATCTTTAAAACTGAAAATGGAGAAATGGTAAATAAGTTTGTGTTAGCATGAGCACAAGACCCGATGACATGGAGACCAAGGAAGTATTAAAAACATTTTGAACAACTGCATTTAGGTATGGGAATTTCACAGTCAAATATTAAGGAGGGGCAGGGTCAGGTTGACATTTTGTGTTGTCATAAGCATCCTGGACGTACACTTCAGTGACTCACTAGACTGCTTTTGTCATTGAAGAAATGTGTCTTTCCACTATTCCTTTCCTGGCACTTGTTTCCTGCCTCCCCAAGATACTCTGTTTTCGGCCTGGTTTTTCTCTGGATAACAGCCCATGACTGCAGCATTCTATGCTCACATCTGCCCTTTCTTGTAAATATTTTCTATTTGATCTCCAAGTCAAAACTAACTTTTCTTGGAGATGTTCATCTAAACTGGGAGATTGCAATCTACTATCTCTAAGTCAGCTTATGTAGGTTTCCAAGTTTTTGCATTTGCAATTAATTAACTGGATGTAGAAGGCTTGTTTGTGGTGGGGGCAAGCTGGTGGTATAACTAGTATAGTTCTCTTTTTCTCCTCACTTCTGGAAGGTAGCTGGTTGCTGATGTAGTGGATGGGTATTCCATTATTATCTCAGAACAGTTAAAATTAAGAGAAGAAAATGTTTGGCTTCTACCCTGTACTGAATGAATTATTAGAGCACAATATTAGCATACATGAATCTTTAAATTTGAGAATCCTAGTTCATAGATTTCTCCTGAATCAAATCCTGTTGGGAATCATGCAAGTCTGGTATATTACTGTCAAAGCACGACTTGGCTGAAGTTCTATTTCATTTTGTTTTTGTTTTTGTTTTTTTTGAGACAGAATTTTGCTCTTGTTACCCAGGCTGGAGTGCAATGGCACGGTCTCGGCTCACCGCAACCTCCGCCTCCTGGGTTCAGGCAATTCTGCCTCAGCCTCCTGAGTAGCTGGGATTACAGGCACGCGCCACTATGCCCAGCTAATTTTTTGTATTTTTAGTAGAGACGGGGTTTCACCATGTTGACCAGGATGGTCTCGATCTTTTGACCTCGTGATCCACCCACCTCAGCCTCCCAAAGTGCTGGGATTACAGCTGTGAGCCACCACGCCCGGTCCTCATTTTGTTTTTTAAGAGACAGGATCTTGTTATGTTTCCCAGGCTGGCCTGGAACTCCTGGGCTCAAGTGATTCTCCCACCTCTGTTTTCCCAGTTAGCTGGAACTACAGGTGTGCACCACCATTTCCTGGCTTCTGCTGAAGTTTTAACTTCCACTATCTCTTTACACAAAGAACATTCTGATCACTTCTTGAGACTTGCTGGCTATGCAGTGAGGAATCACAAAGCTGTGTTGAGACACACGTGTTTGGTAATTATGTAGACTTGTTAGCTAAAGGCAGCCTTGTGGATTTCGTGATTCAAATCTGGCCTTATACAAACACTAATTTCTGTATTTCATAGTATTACTTTGAGGTAACTAAGGAAAAAAAAATTATCTCCTAATGGCAAAGGGATGTTCTCTAGTGTTGGTTTTTGATGTTGCAGTCAAAAAATGATAATGCCTAATTAGGGCTTATGAGATAAGCAAGGGAGTAAGGAAACCATGTCATATGAGGACTCCCAGTTTAAAAAAAAAATGCCTGGAGAAGACTTCTGTAGGTAGGCAGGGGAGTAGGAGGGATGACAGACATAATAGCACTCTTTATGCATTTGGAGAATTATCCTGTAGAATAGAAATGAAACTGCTTCATATCAGAGGGGTGAACTGGAAACAGCAGGTGCTGGTTTTTGTTCAAGTTGGAGAATTATTTTGTCAACAAGGATTACTGTCTCCAAATGGATTGTTTTCTTGTAAGATAGATCTCCATTTCTTAAGTTTTCAAGAAGAGTCTTTATCACCATGAGTCACATGCACATGTAGGTTGTTAAACTACATGAATACTGTTGGGTTTTTTAACTCAGATATTCTGATTCTTTGGATAATTCCCTTGAAAAAGGTTTTCTCTTGTCATTGCCGTATAATTTTTTGTATTGAGAATATACTTTTTTTTTTGAGATGGAGTTTCGCTCTTGTTACCCGAGCTGGAGTACAATGGCACAATCTCGGCTCACCGCAACCCCCGCCTCCTGGGCCCAGGCAATTCTCCTGCCTCAGCCTCCGGAGTAGCTGGGATTATAGGCACGCGCCACTATGCCCAGCTAATTTTTTGTATTTTTAGTAGAGACGGGTTTTCACCATGTTGACCAAGATGGTCTCGATCTCTTGACCTCGTGATCCACCCGCCTTGGCCTCCCAAAGTGTTGGGATTACAGGCTTGAGCCACTGTGCCCGGCCCGAGAATATACTTTTATGTGCTCATTTGCACTGTGTGTAGAAAACAAGGGGGAGAAAAGAAGGGAAGGAAATGGAGCTTTAGTTGAGTTATACCTGGGTGTAGGATTGCCTTATCATGTAGCAGTCATTCACAGCCCCATCTTCCTCTTTTTTTAGGGGGGTTGGCATTTCACTCTTTGTTGCCCAGGCTGCAGTGGCACAGTCTCCGCTCATTGCAACCCCTGCCTCCTGGGTTCAAGCTATTCTCCTGTCTCAGCTTCCCAAGTAGCTGGGATTACAGGCGCCTGCCACTGCACCCAGCTAATTTTTATATTTTTGGTAGAGACTGGGTTTCACCATGTTGTCCAGGCTGGTCTTGAACTCCTGACCTCAGGTGATCCTCTTACCTCAGCCTCCCAAAGTGCTGGGATTACAGGTGTGAGCCACCATGCCCAGCCCCTTCCTTCTTTTAAATGTCCTAATTGGTCCTGTCAAAGACACAAATAAAAACTATCAAACAAATGTTCTGTATTTGCTACATAGCTCATTTCTGCTAGTAAAGAATGTATTAGCTCAGTGAGGTCAACGACTCATCTTTGTTTTTTCACAGGGCTCAAGATAGTACCTGGCAAAGAATAGGCACTAAGTAAAATAATCTTTGAACTGAACTGAAAAAGTAATGATTTTGTTATGAAATCTGTACAGGATTCTAATGGCCACGTCTTGAGGTCATAGGTTTCTTGTTTGTGTTGTTTTTACAGCAGCATGGCTGAGAGGTCATAGTTTTTACTTTGGTAGAGTTAACCATGATACTGAGAAAAGTACATAGTGTTTGGGGAGTTCTGCAGAGAGAGAGCTGACCAAGGTAAATCTGAAATGGAGAGGGTATCAATTTACCTAAGCCTTGAGAAAAGATTAGAAGCTGGAGAGCCAGAGATTAGTAAGGGGCATTCTAGCTAGGAGGAAGTGGTATGAGCAAAGGCCAAGTATGAGTCTTGCCTCAAATCAGTGATCATCTCAGTGAGACCAGAATAGAGGAACCACTGGAAGGGAGTGACATGATGAGCTCTGTGAACAGAGGAGGCTATGAGGAAAGAGATGGATTTGACAGACAGTGTAGAGGTAGAATTGGTAGAGTTTCGTGAACACTTAAAGGTAAGGGATGAGGCTGGGCATGGCGGCTCATGTCTATAATCCCAGCATTTTGAGAGGCCGAGGTGGGTGGATACTTGAGGTCAGGAGTTTGAGACCAGTCTGGGAAACATGGCAAAACCCCTTCTCTACAAAAAATATAAAAAGTTACTTGGGTACAGTGCCATATGCTTGTAATTCCAGCTACTTGAGAGGCAAGAGGCACAAGAATTGCTTGAATCTGGGACACAGAAACTTCAGTGAGCTGAGACTGTACTACTGTACTCCAGCCTGGGGGATAGAGTAAGACTCTTACCTCAAAAAAAAAAAAAAAAAAAAAGAAGGATGAGAATGATGTGGTGACATTATCAAAGACTGAGGTTCTAGTTTGGTTGATTCGGTGATGATGTTAATGGAAATAGGGAATCCCAGAGGAGAATGAGGGGGAAAGATAGTAAGTGTAGGTGTTAGTTATGTTGTGGTGAATGTGAACAGTTCATTCTGAACAGTTTGAGATACCTGAGGATGCCATGTGAGATATCCATCAGCTAGTACGCAGTCTAAGTCTAGATCTTAGGAGAGTTTTAAAAATGACTATAGATTTTTGATTCATCAACTCAGAGTTTTTGAGTAAGAGGAGGAAAGGCCTAAAGTAGAATTTAAAAATGGGTGGGGAAAAGAGAACAGTCAGGCAAGAATGTTGTTTCTGAAGCCAAAGAAGGGGAAAGTATAGAGACAGCAGAATGGTGAGATACTGCTGTGAAAATAATTGGGAACCAAGGAGTTGGCAATTAGGGGGTGGTGGGTGACTTCAGAGGATAATTTCAGTAAGGTAGTGAGGCAGTAGCTGGACTAGACAGAAGAATAATTATGCACTAAGCAGTGGAAACAGCATGACTATGAGGACAAGACGGGAAAGATACTGATAGCAATTTATTGAGAGGGAAGGACAAAGAGGATTTTGTTTAGAAGAGCTTAGGGTAAGGATATAAATTTAGAGAAGGAAGGTTGAGGCAGTAAGATAGAGGATTTAGTTAATGAGGTTAAGTCCCAGAAGAGTTACAGTAAATGTAATCAAAGCAAGTGTATGCAGTTCCTCTTGGGGGCACCTAAAGAGAGAGAGAGACAGAGACAGAGAGAGAGAGAGAGAGAGAGAGAGAGAGAGAGAGAGAGAGAGAGAGTGTGTGTGTGTGTGTGTGTGTGTAAAATGGAAAGAAAGCAAATAACAGTCTTAAAGTATTTAGTTCTGTTGTGAAACTCTCACATGTTGACTGTATGTTAATACATCCATCTTTCTTTCTAGGCAGCAGCAGTTGCACTTTCCTCCCTGATTCATGCTTTGAATGACTTAGACATGGTGGCCATAGTTCGATATGCTTATGACAAAAGAGCTAATCCTCAAGTCGGCGTGGCTTTTCCTCATATCAAACATAACTATGAGGTAAAACCCAAAGTCTTAATGTTATTTTTTTCCTTCAGTTCCTTTATTCTAAGCAGTGTTTCTCAGCTGTTAATGTGCATGGTAATTACTTGGGGATCTTCTTAAAATGCAGATTCTGATTTTGTAGTTCTGAGGTAGGGCCCAGATTCTCTGTTTCTCCCAAGAAATGCTGATACTGGTCTGTGAACCATACTTTCAGTTAGAGCAAAAATTATACATAAAGTATTATTAGAATCTTTTTATTATTATGGAAATCTTTTTAAATTAGACTAATCTAATCAATAAAGGTTCACGATGACCTTTTTTTGGTTCTTATCCTTCGTGACTTACTGAAACCAAATGGAAAGAGAAATTAACTTGATTTTACAAATGAGAATTGTGAATAGAGGTTGAGGATGTGGTTTTGTTGTGATTCTTGTGAAACAGTTTATTTAGGGCTCTCCTATGTAAAATACAGCTCTAAATTCCTTACTGTGTCCTCTGTCTTAGAGAACTTACTGTGGCAGAACTGGAAAGAGAAGGCACCTATCTTGACTTCCAGATCAACCTTCTGATCACCCCAGTCTTCTCATGTGTTGTATTCGTCATGCATTTTATAGCAGTCCTTTAGGAGTCATTCTTTCACACATTTCTCTTATGTTTAATATTCTTTATACTGTTTGCAGTTATGAACAGCCAATAGCAGAAGTCAAAACACTTTACTTTTCATGTACCAGAATTGGCTGATTTTTGAAATATTTCTGTTATGCCACTTTCACAGAATTGGGGATCAGTTTTGTATTTTTTTCATTAATTTGGTCGTATCTGTTTTTACCCCCTTTTTTTCTCATTAGTGTTTGGTGTATGTGCAGCTGCCTTTCATGGAAGACTTGCGGCAATACATGTTTTCATCCTTGAAAAACAGTAAGAAATACGCTCCCACTGGTGAGTTTGTTTCCATTTAGATCTCTCATTGGCTCTACACACACTGTTCTTGGGCAGTTACCTGACTGCAGTTGTTGGTTGGGGCCAGGTGTTTACAGGGTGCAATTAGTTGGATTTCCAATCATACACTTATACACAGTAATGATGTAGGTGGTTTACTTGGTGTTTTTCCAGTAGGAGGGATAGGTTTGCCCTAGACTCGCCAAACACTGTGTAGTGTTTGCCTTGGAGCATGTACCTAGGGGGAACCTTGATGGTAATGGATGTCCATCTCTAGTTGTGAGCAGAGCTTGCCCCTGCTAAAGTGAATCTGAGCAGCATCAAACCTTTGGCTTTAGTGTTCTGCGTAAGGTCTGATGTAGCTTTGAAATGAAAAGTGACAGTGCTGAAGATTAACTTTTCTCTTTGACCTGTTTTTGTAGTTTGCAGCAACAGTCCAAGTCTCGTTGTTACTTATTTCTGGCTTTTAGGAGTTAGTTCAGACTTGATGTGAAAGGGCCTTATTGAGCATCTGGCTGCAAATGTCATGGTGTTATACAGAATGATTCTTAGAGCCACAGGTCCAGTCTTCTAGAGAGCCTATCATTTAAAACATTTATTATAAAATATAATAGCAGAAGTAGAAAATATACCAAAAAGAACAACAAATAATGAGTGGATGTTTTTAGTTTACAAGTTTAAATGTACTGTCTGTGTTAATGCAGGATTAGGGAATTGTGAAGTGAGTCTCAGAACTCAGTTCTTTCTGTAATTTTGGCTAGACCCTTTGGGAGTAGTGTGCTGTAAAAAGGCCAAGAATCAGATGGGTCCCTAGGGCCTGTGTCTTTACCTTCCTTCTGTAAATAAATGAGTCTGCATCACAGTGGAGGTAAGCATGGACCTGAGTGTATAGAAGTTGCCACTGTGTTATAGTATTACTCTCTCTCTACTTCCTGATAATTCCAAAATTTAAATGAGTAGAATATTTGATTTAATTATTTGTTTATTTGAGACAGGGTCTTGCTCTATCACCCAGCTGGATTGTAGTGGTGTGATCATAGCTCACTCCAGCCTCAAACTCCACGTGTATAAGCCCATTTCACGCTGCTGATAAAGACATACCCAAGACTGGGAAGAAAAAGAGGTTTAATTGGACTTATAGTTTCACATGGCTAGGGAAGCCTCAGAATCATGGCACGAGGTGAAAGGCACTTCTTACATAGTGGCGACAAAAGAAAATGGGGAAGAAGCAAAAGCAGAAACACTTGATAAACCCATGAGATCTGATAGTGAAGAAGACTTATTCACTAGCATGGGAAAGACCGGTCCACCCCAATTCAATTACCTCCCCCTGGGTCTCTTCCACAACACATGGCAATTCTGGGAGATATAATCAAGTTGACTTTTGGCTGGAGACACAGCCAGTTCTGGCTCAAGCAGTCCTCCCACCTCAACCTCCCAAGTAGCTGGGACTGCAGGCACACACCAGTGCGCCCAGATAATTTTTGTATTGTGTTTAAAGGTGGAGTTTAACCATGTTAGTCAGGCTGGTCTTGAACTCCTGACCTCGTGATCCACCCACTTTGGTCTCCCAAAGTGCTGGCATCCCAAAGTCCTGGGATTACAGGTGTGAGCCACCGTGCCCAGCTCCTATAATGTACTTTTTGGGAACTGCTTACTCTTTTCCACCTTTGATGACTGCAAATGTTCCAAAAATAGTGCCTGAGGTTCAGCAGCTGACTGCTGTGTGAACCAGCAAAATGAAAGTTATACACAGTAGTTTAGAAGTATTTTTGCCTTTCATCCATATTGCTTTGGCCTGTGCCATTTTTATTAACGGGGTAGATTTTTATTGAGGAGCGCTTGCTTTCTGTTAGGTATTAGGAGAGACCTAAGGAAAGAGGATGTCATATTTCTGCTCTCGTGGAGCTTGAGGGTTTGACAGGAGTAGGGTAAGACATGTACGCAGGTGTGATTAGTGTCATGGAAGCTCATTCTGCCTCAGTAAATTGTGAAGGAGTCAGCTCACTCTGATCCAATGGTGTCTTCCTGTTAAGGTGCTGTACTCTGATAAAAGTTGTATTAAGTTTTTACAAGGCTTATGCTTCATTATCAGAGATTTTTTTTTCCTTTTTAATGTTTTTCTTCTTTAGCTAATTATTAGTTTTTAAAATATTAGCCCGATAGATACTAAATACTTTGCTCCAGTGCCATATAGAGATTGGTTTTTATATGGCTGTATTCCTCTGAAATAAACTCTCTTGCTTTTCATCTGATACTCCATTGTCAAAGGTTCACTGAATGGTAGAACTGGAATCTAATCAGTCAGTCAAGATCTTTTCATTGCTAAGAAAATCAAGACTTGGATTAAATATGTGCATAGCTAGAGAATACTTTGGCAGGGCCCTGTCAGTATTACTGTGGATAGCTATACATAGAAAGCATTTGTTTTAGTGGAGAATAATAGAAATAATAATTTTTCTTTCTGCTTCTGTGTTTATCTTTAAGAGGCACAGTTGAATGCTGTTGATTCTTTGATTGACTCCATGAGCTTGGCAAAGAAAGATGAGAAGACAAACACCCTTGAAGACATGTTTCCAACCACCAAAATCCCAAATCCTCGATTTCAGAGATTATTCCAGGTGAGAGAGGAAAGATAAACAAGTCATACTCATTTTAAATCAAAGAGAGCTAAGTGCATAGTTACAGTAATTGGCCAGTCCTAAATAAATGTCTTTATTCTCTGAAGGCCCCATTTGCTCTATTTAATGGAAGAATAACGTCTTCCTCTTTTTACTTCAAAAGGTAAAGAGATTCTAAGCTCTTAGAAAAATAAAGTTAGAATGCTTCCTTTTTTTTTTCTGGAAGATGGTTACTTGAAAAATAAAAATACAGGAAGGCCAGTTGCCCATGCTGTAGTGCAGTGTTGTGATCTTAGCTCACTGCAGCCTCAAACTTCTGTGCTTGAGCAGTCTTGCCTGAGTATCTTGAACAGCTGAGATTGCAGGCATATGCCACCATTCCTGGCTAATTTTAAAAAGTTTTTGTAAAGACAGATTCTTGGCCAGGTGCAATGGTTGACACCTGTAATTCCAGCCCTTTGGGAGGCTGAGGCCAGTGCATTGCTTCAGGTCAGGAGTTCAAGACCAGCCTGGCCAACATGGTGAAACCCTGTCTCTACCAAAAAATACAAAAATTAGCCGGACATGGTGACATGCACCTGTAATCCCAGCTACTCAGGAGGCTGAGGTGGGAGAATTGCATGAACCTGGGAGATGGAGATTGGAGTGAGCCAAGATCATGCCCTGTACTCCAGTCTGGGTGACAGAGTGAGACCCTGTCTTAAAAAAAAAAAAAAAAGACAAGTTCCTAGGTTGGTCTTTAACTCCTGTGCTCAAGCATTTCTCCCACCTCAGCCTTCTGAGTAGATGGCCCTGTAGTTGTGTACCACTGCCCCCAGCCAAATGCCTCGTTTATATTTTTTGAGGTGTTTCTCCTATATTGTATGTAAATAACACTTTTCTTTGTTTTTTATATCAAAATAGTAGGAGAGCTTATATGAACTCTATCATAACTATTGTTAGAGAAGAACTGTTCTAGTTTCTTCTCAAATTTTTGAGAAAGCCACATTTCTCAAAAATTTCATAATTAAAGGTAGCATGGGGTCAATTAAAGAGGTTGTACTGTGAAATTATTAAAGAATAACTAAAATACAGAAAATATAAAAAATCTGTTTCTGTATCTTAGGCCAAAGAAATTGGAAGACAGATTGGATTAAGGTAAATTGGAGAAGTTGACAAGAGAGCTGACTTATGCTGAGGAAGGAGAGGGCTAGATTAAGGTTGAAGGAGAAAGGGATATTTCAGTCCTGGATTAAGTTGATGAAAGCAGGACACAGCCTTCTCTGACCCCATAAAACTGAAAAAAATCTCATAAGCAGCATTTTTTTTTTTTTTTTTGAGTTTTGCTCTTAATTGCCCAGGCTGGAGTGCAATGGCACTATCTCGGCTCACCTCAACCTTTGCCTCCTGGGTTCAAGAGATTCTCTTACCTCAGCCTCCCGAGTAGCTGGGATTACAGGCATGCACCACCACACCCAGCTAATTTTTGTAGTTTTAGTAGAGACAGGGTTTCTCCATGTTGGTCAGGCTGGTCTCAAACTCCCAACCTCAAGTGATCTGCTCACTCGGCCTCCCACAGTGCAGGGATTAGAGAGGTGAGCCATCGCCCCCAGCATAAGCAGCTTTTTTAGGCAAACTGTTGATCACCGAGGAGTAGAAGACTCTCTTCTGCGGGTTGGGGGAAACAGGTCATGTGCTGGAGAGACCATTTTCCCTTTTGATTCACTTCATGAAACATCTGTAACTAACTGAAGTCTCTATTGGGGCTTGTGATTTGAGGAGTCCTTTACTTGAGTGAAACAGCCTTTTTTTTTTTTTTTTTTTTTTTTTTGACGCTTAGAATTTCTTTAAGTAGTGAAAAAATCTTGTTCTAAAATTATAAATATGAAGTTTAACATGTAACGACTTGACTCTGAATACTAGTGCCCCTCAGTTTATAATGGGGATATATGCCTGTAAACTCATCCAGTTTGAGAATATAAATTGAAAATGCATTTACTACACCTAACCTACCAATCGTCAATAGGTTAGCCTCACCACCTTAAATGTGCTCAGAACACTTACATTAGCCCACAGTTGGGCAGAATCATCTGGCAGCATCATGCACTGTAGCGTGAAGGATGTTTGCCCTTGGGAGCAGTGGCTTGATATCACTGCCCATCATTGCAGCTGTCCTACTGACTTCTACTGAATGAGTATCGCTTTCACACTGTTGTAAATTGGAAAAATTGTCAATTGAAACGTCATAAACCAGAGACCATCTGTACTTCAGCATGCTAAGTGTAATGAAGTATAAATTACAGATATAAAAATCCTTTGGTGCTTTTTGGCAAGTGTAATTGAAGACCTAAAGCCTTGTGCCATTTGTAGGGAAGGGAGGAGCAGGCCAATTGAAAGCTTACCAAAATGGTTCACTATGGAGGAAAAGAGAAACTTCTATTAATAATATTTTGCAGACTTATTTAGGTAGGTTGTGTTTATCTCTTAATAAATGTGTCTTGGAATAACAAACAGATACAAGCCATAAATGCGGGCATTTTTATATTTCAAAGCTGCTGCAAGCACAGACTTTGATTTTTATTACTTTGTTTTGTGGGGGAGACTTTAATATGGCTTATCTGTATAAAGAACTGTCTTCACTAGGGTACATAAGCTTTTTTAAAAAAGCAAATATTAGCCAGGTACAGTAGCTCACACCTGTAAGTCCAGCACTTTAGGAGGCTGAGGCAGGCAGATCACCTGAGGTTAGGAGTTCAGAACCAGCCTGACCAACATGGAGAAACCCTGTCTTTATTAAAAATAACAAAATTAGCCAGGGGTGGTGGTGCATACCTGTAATCTCAGCTACTCGGGAGGCTGAGGCAGGATGATTGTTTAAATCTGGGAGGTGGAGGTTGCGGTGAGCTGAGATCATGCCGTTGTACTCCAGCTTGGGCAACAAGAGTGAAACTCCATCTCAAAAAAAAAAAAAGGCAAAAAAAAAAAAATCTCAAAAAAAAAAAAACAAAAGCAAACAAATATGTATTAAGTACTAACAATGGACCACATACTGAAGTTACTATAAGCTTGCTTCTTTTATGGACCCCTTTAGAAGAATGAGAAACGTAGAGAGACAAAAAAAAAAAAAAACAGTAGTTACAACAGTGGTGGGGAAACACCATGAGAATGAGAATAAGAAAATTTACAAATGAGTGACTGAAGGAAGGCTTTGCTGAGGAATTAGCATTCGGACAGAGTTTTAAAAGGAAAAATGAACATACATGCATGTTGTAAGGAGAGTATGCCATGTAAAAGAAATAATGTGGAAAAGCATGAAAATATAAAGAGGTAGATTGTGTCTAGGGATCCACAAATGGTTCTTTTTGGTTACAGAATAAGTTCTCTATGGCAGAATGGTGGAAAAGGTGACAGAAGCTAAGTAGTAGGTAGGTGGTGAATACCTTGTATGCCATACTCAGTCATTCGGATTTTATGGCAGTGGGTAATTATTAAAGAATTTGTAGTGGCCCACTTCAAGCCTTAAAAGTTGAAGCATTGATGGAGAGAATAGAGAGGAGAATCAATTCTTAAGGCGTTTAGAAGGTACAGTAGATAGAATTTGAGTGAGGGATGGAAAATCAAGTGGAATTGAAGATTCTAGCTTGGGTGAGTGAAAAGATGATGTCACCATTCAGTATGATAAGGAATACAGAATGAGCAGTTGAAAAAGATAATTCATTTATTTTCACAAGTGTTAAATTTGAGAAAATCTATTGGATATCTGTAGAGACACTCGATGGGAAGTTGGAAACAGCGTTGCAGAGCCCAGAAGACAAGTCAGGTCTAAATGCATAGATTTGAAAGTCCTCATTGAGGCAGAAAGACAAGTGAATAAGATCGTCTGGGAGAGCACGTTGACTGAAGGGAGAGAAAAAAGTAGCAGAACCCCAACATGCGAGTGAACAATTAGACATATAGAAAAGAGCTGTTAAAAAACAAAACCAAATGCTCCTGCCTCCACCACCCACCAAAAGTCAGTGAGGTAGAAAACTAGGAGAAATGCCTCTTGGAAGGCACAGGAAGAAAAGAGTTGGGAAGGAAAGAATTGCAAGTCAGATGCACAATGGCAAGTAGAGGTGAGCTTAGCAAAGGGTCTTTAGGAATTTGTAGTCCAGTTTGAGGATTTTGAGCACAGACTCTGTTGAGTAATGGTCTGCAAGCCAGGTTACAATGCCTGGATGAGAAAGACTTCCTGATGAAGGGAGATAGAAAGAGAGTACAATAAGCACTGGGAGGATGTGGGACCCAAGAAGGCTTCTTTTTTTCTTTTTGAATGAAATACCTACAGCTAAGGGTACATGAGCTGGGAGAAAGAGAGAGATTAATAATCAATTTGTAAGCAAGAGGTTTAATTTAATTCTAATTTTGAAAAGAAATGCTGAAAATATATCTTTTATCAAGTATATAGTTAAAACCACTTTTTAAATAATTGCTACAATGTTGCTTAAATCAGAGTATTAGTAACTTCTGAGCTAATCTTTTTCAATTTGTAAAAATCACATTCAATAACAGTTGCTTAAAAGAAGTAAATAGGCCAGGAACTGTGATCTCTGCTTCTCAGTTACTCAGAAATGTTACTTTCTCATCCCATTTTTTTAATGCATTGGGAATTTTTACTTGAATGAATTTTATAAGTATTTCACTTAGCTTAATTTGCATAAAATGTGACCTTTCAGGAAATATGAGAGAGATTGGTACTTCAGAACATTTCTTTTAGATCCTTTCTTAATTGACTTATGGATGATGACACTGAAAAGATTGCCTGGAGTTCATGCTGAAAACCTGGAATGTTTTTCAGTAGGAAGGCTGGGTAGGATATTTGTCCATTGGTTGGTCTAGCTCTTTTCCAAGAAATGTCAATTGGATGTCACAGAATCTTCAAGAGTTTATGAGAGGTAGTCTGCTATGTTGGGTGTTTGATTACTGCTTTACATCTTTAGGACCTTCTAAGCTGTTTAGATATTTTAATGAACCAAGGGAGAGCACTGTGGATTAAGGATTATGCATATAAGAAGAAGATGGGGTGTAGAGTCACAGAGTTTGGGATCTTTTGGATTTGCTTAAACAATTTTGGGATTATCTTGCTTTACATTGAATAGGCCTGATGTTATTGATGCTCAAGGGAAAGTCAAGTAATTGGGAAAGAAGCAGGAGTGAAAATCTAAGATGAATGATTATACCATGGAGAAGGAATAGTTGTGGTTGCTGGTTGAAATATTGGGAGGGAGCAGGGAGAAGCACATGGAATTTCTGGAGGAAATTGGTACTTAATTCCTACCTTACGGTTTTCCAAATTATAGGACATTGACTCTTGGATGATATTCACTATTAAACCTAAGCATCTTTAATTTTTTAAGAATAGAAACTTTCAGCTTTCATTTTTTCAATGTAGGAAGGGAATCCATGGAATAGTATAAATCATACTTTGTGATAGGGACAGTATTTTGAAGTTATGCTCTTCAGCTTCCTGGTATTTTGTTTATTTGTTTGTTTAGAATTACAAATTTATAAGTTGTTCAAAAGTGGGAATAGTTAATACCTTAATTTTGGAATTAATATTTATCAAAGGAAGGAAAACATCAATAAACTGATAGTTTCATCTTACTGCTTTGTTTTCCGATGACATCTAATCTTACTGCTTACCCTTCTGTATTCATTCCTTTTAGAGCATTTCCTTTTCTTGCCAGGCCAAGGTCTGGCATAGTATACTCGAGGCAGGATAGGTGGTTGAGTGAAGTGGCATGCTGCGCAGAACTTCGCTCACATGGGCAGTGGAGAACCTGCCCTGGCCTTGATCTTGGTGCCTTGGTGTCGCCTCTTGGCACTGCTGTCAACAGCTAGAGCCCTGGAAAAGAGCACTTTATTCCTGCAGCCATTATCCACCAGGTGCTTATTATGTGCCATGTAGTATTTTTGGTGCTTAGAATTCAGCAGTAAAGAAGAGAAGAGCCCTGCTTTTGAGGAGGAGGGTTAGATAATAAAACAAGTAAACCAAAAAATGAATAATTTTAGTTAATGATGGTGGCTGTAAAAAAATATATGGGAAGTGATGGAAAATGACAGGGCAGTAGTATGGGGGCGGAGGGGCTACTTTGTATAGGGTGTCAGGGAAGGCTTCTTGGAGGAGACAGTATTTGAGCAAAGACCAAAATTTTTATGTTTTTTTTTTTAAAGAAGAGCTAATTCTTTCAAGATTTAGGGAAAGACAGGAGGCAGAGGGAGTGTTAGGCCCAGGCTGAAAAGGTAGGATGAACTTGATGTATGAGCAAAGCAGGAGGAGCCCAGTGCATTGTGGTTGTGAGTGAGAACAGTGGCCGGTGACACGATTGAGGAGGCAAGCAGGGCCGCGTCAGGATTTCCTAGGGTATGGTGAGCAGTTCATTCTCGGACCACTTCCAGTCAGACATTGGAATGAGAAGCCAGGAGACCAGTTAGGTGACTGTGGTAGGCCAGGGGCAAGGCGATGGGGCCTGGGCAAGAGTGGTAGCAGTGGGGAGGGGAAAAGGTAGATGGACTCATGGAGAAAAATGCAAACTCAACACTCTTGAAAGTTTGGGGACAACTCAGTATTCTCATCTCTTTTGCAGACTTCTCCCTGGGACTCACGGAGCATGGGCAGCTTCCCTGTAGCCACCTGTTTCATCCACCACATGGCATTCTAAGTGAGGGAGAAAGCACAGTATGATTAAAAGATTAAAGGATTATAACGAGAAAGTTATAATCCCAGATTGTCAGAAGATCTTGGAATTAGGTATTTTAGAGAATCTCGTATAGTCCCCAAGTAGTAAAAGCAACAACTTTGTTTTATAAGGTGAGGCTCCTTTCCAGGAGGTCCAGAGCAGAAGATACTGCTGCTAGGCTTGGATCTGTTTTTACAGTTGGTTTTAGGTATTGACCAATATCCTGCTAACAAAAACAGTTCTGGGTGAATCCTCTTTGTTATCTTTTACATATAGTATGAATCATATAGCCCTTCCACACTAAAGATGGAAGATCCCTGATCAGAAAATATAGAGAAGCCATATATGTCTTCATCTGTATTTTTAAATCCTTACTTTTTCCAACAGTGTCTGCTGCACAGAGCTTTACATCCCCGGGAGCCTCTGCCCCCAATTCAGCAGCATATTTGGAATATGCTGAATCCTCCCACTGAGGTGACAAAGAAATCTCAGATTCCACTCTCTAAAATAAAGACCCTTTTTCCTCTGATCGAAGCCAAGAAAAAGGATCAAGTAATTGCTCAGGATGTTTTCCAAGACAAGTAAGTACTCGATGTTTAACATTGGGGTACATAAGATTTGTGGTCATTTTGGAGTGGCTCTGGAGGTGTCACTTAGGGGTCTGTGGAATTAAAAAGGTGGGAGGAAGAAGCCTTTTGCTATTTGGCCCTTGCATTGCAATACTGATTTCTTATATGTGTCTGCTGTGATATTTTTTTGTTTTGTTTTGTTTTGTTTTTTTGAGACAGAGTTTCGCTCTTGTTACCCAGGCTGGAGTGCAATGGCGCAATCTCGATATTTTATCCTTGCTGTTCACCTTGGATTTAGAGCTAACTTCTGGGTTGATGACTTTTTATCAGCCTCAGATTCTCGGTGAATTATATGTGATATATAATTAGATAAATTTTTGAATATCTAAGGCTAAATGTTACTCTTTAAAGTACTGCGAATGAGTCTGTTGAAGATCATAGGTTTTTTTGGTTGGGACGAGATTAGGTGTTGGGGCTATCATTGAGATTTTTGGAGGAAAAGTGGGAAGGAGAGTGAAAAACTATCATTTCTTGAGCTGTTCAATTAGGGTATCAGTGATGTACTTGGTTGTGCTAATCAGGAGGTGTTTGTAGTTTAAGGATTGCAAAATGCTTTTCATATACCCTTAAATCAAGCTTACAAGTGGCTATTAGGTTTTTTCCCTCTTCTGTTCACAGTCTGTGTCAGTTTCCATTTAAAACAAAACAAAAATAAAACTAACAAAAGGAAATAAAATAGAAATAAAAAAAGAAATTGTTGCTCAGGAAAAAAGAAAGAAATTGTTGTTGTTCATCCAGAATTATTTGAGTGTGTAAAATTGATTTTACCAGGTTTAGGTCAACCAGTTATTGGTGACTTTTTTTCTCAAGCCAGAATAATCTAAAAATTTCTTTTGGCTGTATTTTGAGATCTGGTTTTAAATCATTAATTTTTTCCCTTTTTTCTTTGATTTTTCTCCCCACAACTATCTTTATTGACAAAGCTGCTTCTTTATAAATACCCCAGTGGAGAAGTATTGAATAATTTCCGGAAATCTTCACAGGTTTCTATAAATCATTGATTTAGAGAATTACTGTCTAAATTGAATAGAAATGTTTGCGCATTCTGTGGCATTCTAAAGGTTAACATCCAGGCGTTTGTCAGATCTGAAAAAAACAAAAACAAAAACATGCACTTGGTTTTCTCCCTGCTCCCCCACCCAACCCCTGGAAGACCATTTCTCAAGGAAATTGATAGATTGTTTCTTGATAGATTTTATGATGTGCATTCCTTATATCCTGGAGAGATTTTCGTTTCTGTTTAGTCTGTCATGTGTTCTATGTAAGAACACTGGCCCTAAAAATTCACTTTCCCTCTGCTATCCTTATCTACCTTCTAGATTAGTATTTTAAAACAGTTCAGTAAAAGTCTATGGCCTTTTCTTTCCCTGACACCTCGCTCTAGTCTTAGTGCAATCACAGGGCTGTTCTCTCTGTGTGTTAAAGCTCCAGTCCATGATCTTGATTACCTTGTGGTGTTGTCGAAAGAAATGGACCATTTCTCTTCTTACCTTTGATTAAAATGTAAATTAGCTGGTTAAAACATACCACACCGACCCAGAAGGCTGCTGTTCTGTCATTTGATCCCAGCTATAATTACACTTTTGGCTCTGGTCCTCCTAGTCACTCTTCTGGAAGCTTGGGTATGCTGAACTTCTAGTTTGCTCCCATAATGGTTTGCAGCATAGCTAAGTTAATCTTGCAGAGGCCTGAGAGGTATCTCACACGCTCATGCTCCTATTCTCTACTCTTCTGAGAAAGCTTAGTTTTTAAGAATTGCAGAAATGATTCATTTAGCAAATATTTGAGTACCTCCTGTATTCAAGAAGAATTGATTCAGTCTCTTCTACAAGGTGCTAAAAACCCTCAATTTTTATGATAAAACTCCAGTCAGTTCTAGAGGTAAAGTTTCCCCAAGGAAAGAAAAAATTGCCAACAATTCACAGTGTTTTTGTATGTTTTCATCCTCTCTGGATCCACAGCACATATTTCCAGTGGAGGGGAGAGGAGCTAAGGTCAGGAGTGGACACATGCCTGTTTAGGAAGTTTAGTCATCTTAAGAGATGGGAATCATTCCAGCTTTTTCACTTAATATGATTTTGGTGAAATAATTTTACCTTTATGAGATTTTCTTCATCTAAAAAAAAAATCTCAAGAGATATTAATGAAATCACAGATACTTAAGCACTTTGAGCAACTGTTGGTTAGGCGATTTTGTTGTGCCAGTGTCACAGAGTGTACTTAAAAAAACCCACATGATAGAGTCTACTACACACCTAGGCTGCATGGTTAGGTGATTTCGTTGTGTGAATGTCATGGAGTGTACTTACACAAACCTACATGGTAGAGTCTGCGACATACCTAGGCCATATGGTGTGGCCTATTGCCCCCAAGGTACAAACCTGTGCAGCGTGTTACCATATTGAATACTGCAGGCAGTTGTAACAGAGGTATTTGCATATATAAACATATCTAACAATAGATGCCTAGGGAGGCGGAGGTGGGCACATCACCTGAGGTCAGGAGTTCGACAGTCTGGCCAACGTTTTTAGTAGAGAAACTGCATCTCTACTAAAAATACAAAAATGAGCTGGCGTAGTGGTGTGTGCCTAAAGTCTGAGCTACTCGGGAGGCTGAGGCAGGAAAACTGCTTGAACCTGGGAGGCAGAGGTTGCAGTGAACCAAGTTCACACCACTGTACTCCAGCCTGGGGGACAGAAGGATACTCAATTAAAAAAGAAAGGAAGAAAAGGTAATGCCTTGTACTATGATGTCATGGCAGCTGTGATGTCACAAGGTGATAGGAATTTTTCAGTTTCCTTATAATCTTATGAGACCAAACATCATTTTGGCTCTTTGTTGACCAAAACATCATTTTGTGGCCCATGAATGTATTTGAAGGGAAGGCAATAGTCAAAATCTAAAGCAATAATAATATTATCTATAAAAACATTGAACCTTTGAGATCTGATGTTTGTCTTGGACCTGTTGAATACTTAGTGTTAGAAGTGATTTCTTCATTTTAAAAGGATAAGACCACCATTTGACACTGTAGTCCCAAAATCTACTAAGTATTACTCTTGTCATATAAAAGGATTGCCTCTCTTAATGTTGCTATACACCCTTAAAATGAAAATGTCATCTCTTGGACAGAGAACTTGCATGAGAATGTGGACATCTCAGGTCTAATCCTGCTTGTGCAGCTGATATATACGTGACCTTGATTTCTGTTTATCTCTATGCAGGTGTTCTAAGGCTTTCTGCTCTTTTCATGTCCACTGAGACTTCTCATGTACTCTCAGCAGACATCCTCACTTGGTTAATGGTTAAGACTTCAGTCTCTAGAGTCAGCCATTATGAGTCAGTCCCCCTTGCCCTGCAGTGTGGCCTTAGGCATAGGTTACTTGCCCTTTCAAAGCCTTAGTTTCCTCATGAGTAAAATAGGGATTATGGGAATTTCTGTCTCATAGAGTTGTAATGGGGGTTAATCGAGCAGTGTATGCTGTTCACTGTTGTATCCCTAGGACCCAGCAAAGTGCCTTGCAAATAGTAAGAACACAGTGTTTGGAGTAAATGATTTTAAAAATCCTAGTCATGTGCCTGGCATGTTAGCAGTCACAGTAGTCTGTTCTCACACTGCTGTAAAGAAATACCCAAGACTGGGTAATTTATAAAGGAAAGAGGTTTGATTGACTCACAGTTCCACATGGCTGAGGAGGCCTCGGGAAACTTATAGTTATGGCAGAAGGCGAAGGAGAAGCCAAGACTTGTCTTATGTGGCGGCAGATGAGAGCAAGTGTGTGTTAGCACAAGAGAAACTACCTTTTATAAAACTATCAGATCTCCTGAGAATTCACTCACTATTACAAAAACAGCATGGGGGAACTGCCCCCATAATCCAGTCACTTCCCACCAGGTCTCTCCCTAAATACCTGGGGATTACAATTCAAAATGAGATTTAAGCTGGGCTTCTTTGGGAGGCTGAGGCAGATGGATTGCTTGAGGTTAGGAGTTCCAGCGTAGCCTGGCCAACATGGCGAAACCCCTATCTTCACACAAAAAAAAAATAAAAAAAATTAGCTTGCTATGGTGGCACAAACCTGTAATACCTGGAGGCTAAGGGACAAAAATTGCTTGAACCCAGGAGGCGGAGGTTTGCAGTGAGCTGAGACCCCTGCACTTCAGCCTAGGCAACAGTGAGACTGTATTTAAAAAAAAAAAAAAAAAAAAAAAAGAAAGAAAAAAATTTTGGTGGGGACACAAGCCTAACGATATCAGGTGGGAACTCCTTAGTTTTCTGGCCCATCTTATGTAAAAACATGACTGTTTTTGCATTTCTTGTCTCAGTGAAATGGAGTATCTCATCCTGCCTAAAATAAATTCCTTTACCTGTGCCCTGGATCCTTTTTTCTTCTTTTTTTTAATTTTAGTTTTTGAGACAATCTCTCTCTGTCACCCAGGCTGGAGTTGAGTGGCACAATCACAGCTCACTGCAGCTTTGACCTCCTGGGCTCAAGTGATCTCCCAATTTGAGGATCCTCAGTAGCCACCTGAGTAGCTCACAACCGGCTAATTTTTTTATATTTTGTCGAGATAGAGTCTTACTTTGTTCCCCAGGATGGATCCCCTTTTTTTTTTTTTTTTTGCCTCATCTGGTACTTTAGGCCACTAATAATTTCTTCTCTCTGTATTTTTAGCTTCTCTCTCTTTACCACTAGCTCCTTTCTTCCCTCATGTTAAATTTCTTTAACACAAAATAAAATAATCCCCCAGCTTATTCCTTCTAATTACTACCTGTTACTAATTACTAATCTAATTATTATCTTTTCTTCCAGAAGCTACGTTCTTGGAATAATAGTCTGCACTGCGGCCTTTCATAGCTCATTCTCACCAGCTTCTGCCGCCACCACATCCCTGAAACATCTTTCAAAAGACACTAACTGCTAAATTCACTTCAGCTTTGCAGTCTTTTT